GAAATTTGTGCAGAGGCAAAAAGCAAGTACTCAAAATAAATTCTTCTTCAATTCCTTTTCCTGGCATTTCCCCCCAGACTATTTTCTTATACCTTCCACACTATTCCCACTACCACAGCTACACTTTATTTCTATTTAATCCACTCTGGGTCAGGTTCAGCCTTATTTCATATCTCCTTTTCTTTCTCCCTACTGTTAACCTCTCCTGCCCCCAAAGCTTCTGTTCTTTGAAATTTCTGTTTTTGTCTTCTCTTGTTCTTTTCTTCACTGTGCCCTGTAGTAATAATTCCTGATCTGCACCCCAATTGTTTTCAGCGCAGCTTCCATTCTATGATTTGCAACCAACGAAAGAAAGCTTGCTTTGATTTACCCCGGGTCTGTATTCCAACGGATTTAATAAAGATATATGTCTGTGCAGAGCAGGGGTCATGGGTGTGGAAACTATGAACATGCCCTGCCCCTTTTAAAACACCCAAGTATAAATGGCCTGAAATTGAGGCTACATTCCCAGCAACAAGTGCAATACCATGGGACTATATGCTTTGGAAAGGCACTCAAGGTCAATTGTAACTTGTCATGTTCTTACTACAGGCTGTTACCAAATTGTGTCTACAATGGTATCTGTCACAGAATTTACTTTCCTTTCCTCCCCCCACCCCCGTCTATTAACTATCCTGGTACAAATATTCTCGAGGTTTCCTTACATATGCGCTTCATCATCTCAGAAGGGCAGGCTTCTGTTTTCAATTATTTTATCTCAAATGCTGTTTGTGCATAATTGCATCCATGTACCTATGTGCCACAGTAACTATGTGCATGTGTGCCACAGTATATTTGATGGGAGTTTGATGAAAGGAGAGGTGTGTGAAGCATTGAACAAGAACCACCGCCAGGGTCTGAGTTCTTGATATAGCTTCCATTCATTTTATTATTATTATTATTTGAAATTAATAGATTAACTTGCACAATGGTCCTCAACCCTTGGCCTAATTCTATGCAGGGGAGGGAAGCTTGGAGAAAGGGGTGGAGCACTTTGAACAGGCACTATCTCCAGCAAGAGCAATCTATCCCTTCTCCAGTAGGCTGCAGAAGGTGGAAGAAGAGGGAGGAGGATGGGAGAAGTAAATGATCATGGTGGCCCTGCCTGCCTTTGGTCCGACCCCACTCTCCACCAGTTGCAACTCTGCCCACCATTAGTTTGCAGCTCCCAACAGAGCAGGGAAATGGCTCCCTACACCTGGCCTATATCAATACAGTGGTACCTCGGGTTACAGACTCCTAAGGTTACAGATACTTCAGGTTAACAGACTCCGCTAACACAGAAATAGTACCTTGGGTTAAGAACTTTGCTTCAGGATGAGAACAGAAATCGCCCGGTGGCGGCGTAGCAGCAGCAGGAGGCCCCATTAGCTAAAGGGGTGCTTCAGGTTAAGAACAGTTTCAGGTTAAAAACGGACCTCCAGAACAAATTAAGTTCTTAACCCGAGGTACCACTGTAATGCACATTTGTTCTTACGATACCTCAAAATTTTGCATAAAAAACAAAGAAAAAGTAAGAGTACAAAATGTAATGCATATACTTTCTATGGCTGATCAAACAAAAAAACAATTTGTATTGTTGTATATTTATCTCCAATCTATGGAGAGAGGTTTTTCTTTTCCTCTAACACTATATTATATAATTATTATTTATTACATTCTTATACTGCCCTGCATAGGCAGATCTCAGGGCGGTTCACAACTTAAAATTACAATACAGTGGTACCTCGGGTTACATACGCTTCAGGTTACATACGCTTCAGGTTACAGACTCCCAGAAATAGTGCTTCAGGTTAAGAACTTTGCTTCAGGATGAGAACACAAATCGTGCTCCGGCGGCGCGGCAGCAGGAGGAGGAGGCCCCATTAGCTAAAGTGGTGCTTCAGGTTAAGAACAGTTTCAGGTTAAGTACAGACCTTCGGAACGAATTAAGTACTTAACCCGAGGTACCACTGTATAAATTAAATACAAGATAAAGTAAATTAAGCCTGGTTTTCCCCCATGTTCCTGTCAGACATTCTAAACTGTATCCTGGGGATTTGAATAACTGGCAGGAGAAACATGACTCGATACTCAGCCATGATAGGAGGGGGGGCAGGAGATCAGTGATCTTTTCTACAAGGGCTACGAATATATTTGGGAGGATTTCATTACATTGATGTCATTTATCGAGAGCAGGTATGAGCTACTATGGACTTTTGAGTCTTTACAGTAACAGCAGCAAACACAAGTCCCCCAGCAGCACAAAACCTAGGCCAGACACTGGTTGCAAAATTATCACCATATTAGCAGAGCCTAGGGCTTGCCGATCAGAAGGTCGGCAGTTCGAATCCCTGTGATGTGAGCTCCCATTGCTCGGTCCCAGCTCCTGCCAACCTAGCAGTTCAAAAGCATGTCAAAGTGCAAGTAGATAAATAGGAACCGCTCCGGCGGGAAGGTGAACGGCGTTTCCATGCGCTGCTCTGGTTCGCCAGAAGCGGCTTAGTCCTGCTGGCCACATGACCCGGAAGCTGTACGCCGGCTCCCTCAACCAATAAAGCGAGATGAGCGCCGCAACCCCAGAGTCGGTCACAACTGGACCTAATGGTCAGGGGTCCCTTTACCTTTACCTAGTGTGTCACTAGCCAAGGGATTAGCTAAGGAAAACCTGACTCTAGTTGGCACACCTCCCAGAATTCCTAGCCCAGAAATCCAGAATTTTCCACAGGAGCATTTTTTGTTTTCAACATTTGACACTTCTATGTTATACGCCAAAGAAAGGAAGGGTGGAGATTCTGTCTTTGATGCATAATGATACAATGATCTCAGACTGTATGTTCGTTCCATCCACATTTTTTCCTGAACAAGAATATCATTTTCTAGGCAATTTGCTTCTTTTTTAGTCAAATTTAGCAAACTACAATGTACAGCATTCTCCCCTTCATCCAATATTATAGCCATTAACCTCTTACATTTAAAATAATATCACTGGCACGGTATGCTGCTGTGGCTGTAACACAAATCTATCGGCATTTTAAAAATTTAGTGATCTTTAACAGAGCCTTTGGGCTGTTGCAGAATTCAGGATTCCAACCAATGCCAATCAGGCCAATCAGAGTTAGAAAAATTGGAAATATGTTTTGCAAACTGGAACAGTCAACAGAACATGTAGCTTTACTTCGGTTCAGTTTTGTTTAAAACGAACAAATCACTCTTTTTAAATTTTCACGCAATATAAACATACAATCCTATTTTAGAGTTTATACTCCCAATGGAATATTCTTCAATTAGGAAAATCCTTAAGGCACTTTTGGGAACACAAGTTTGATCCCAGGCTCCAAACGTGCTCTGATATGTGCACTGAGTTCCAAGCAACAATGGACTTCCCTTTCACTCCAACATCAGACACCAACCTGCAGTTGACACCAACATTGTAGTGATTTAGGAACTCAACATGTGCCAAAAAACCTTGGCTCCCATGTGCATGAGGGTCAGGGCAAGTATGTTTTATATTAGCACTAAAAATAAAGCCAGATATTATTTTGGCTATTCTTGCGCCTTTGGCCAAATGCTGCGTTCTGGTTGTGTATGGAACTGAGAATCTTTGGGATTCAGATGACAACTGTCCAATTGAGCCGCATTTTTACAACAGACAAAAAAAAAATGCTGTACACCTAAGTAAGAACCACGTTAGAAAAACAATAAAAGGTAAGAAGTACAATTTTGCCAGGATTTTTCAGCAGTTGGATGGATTTCATTAAAGACAGAAAGAGACTTGTTGAAGCTCTCAGGTTACTGGTCTCTTCTTTCTGTGAAAAGGTCACATAAGCAGTGGAGAAGTGGGAAAGGGGAGCGGGCTTTCTATATTTCTTTCTTTTAATGCACTGATTTATTGGAGTTTAGCAATGGGGGTTATGTGGAAAGACATCAAGCAACTGGAAATCCTGCAGTGTTGGATTTACACGGTTATCTCTAATGGAGAAAAGTAAACCTCAGAAGGAGACAACTTGCTTTGAGATATGAGGAAAATGACACTCCTCGACCGAAATCCTGTTTCTAAATATTATCACATCACCGTCTTTACTGACTGGTAGGCAAACACTAATAAATACACATAAAAAGAATTGGGAGAAGGAAGGAATATACATTATTTGCATATGACTGCAAATGTCATGTTATACCCTGGCCTGCATTCCATAAACATTTTTTATCAGAAAGTACACCTTCCAAACTTACAGGTTACTGCTACAATGCCAACTTTGAAGCAATAGCTCTTCCCACATGTGACTGTTTCCTAGTGACAGTTTGATAACATCAACATCAAAAATAAATTGAAGCTGAAGGAAAAGACAAGCTAATAAAAATAATAGGCGAGGGGAAACTTTTCATATTGCTTACAATACAGCAAAGGCTACATGCAGCTGCTCAAACAGGACAGAATGAGGAACAGAACTCTGGGAGCTAAGAAACTGTGGGCCAAATAATCAGAACTGCCAGATATAGGGAAATAGGAGGTCTAATTACTTTTATTTTTATTTAGCAAAACATATATATCGTTTAATTGTGCTAAAATCTCTATACAGCTTAACAAAAACATTTAAATTATTTAAAACTTCAAAAAAGTAAGTAAAATTGAAGGTAGAAAGATTAAAACACATCCACACCCACATGTCTGAATAAGCTTACCTGGATAAAATGTTCGGAGCAGGCACTGAAAAGAGTCAACTTTCTGGCACTGGTATAATCTAGTGTAGCTATTTTACATATACAGTTATTTAAAACTGTGTCACTTTGTGTAGTATTAAATTTTAAGAATGCAAAATAGTAAAATGCATAAATTAAAGCAGCCTGATATGCCGCAAAACAAACCAACCAAATATTTTTTTCTTAATTTAACACAATTTCCCTTGAATTTGTCAAAGTAACATTTCAAAAGCTTTTCCATGGACAATTGCATTAGAACCCCATATCATTGAATTTACCTCTAATAACGTAACTATCCAAGGCCTCTTCCATTCTTCGCAAAGCTTCAGCTCTGTTGGATCCATAGGTGATCAGCTAAAGCACACATACACAAAATGATATATAAAAATGATATATAAAAATTAAGGACCATCAAAATATTATTTGGTGGTAGAGGTTTACAACTTTCAGTTTTTAATGCAATTTTAAAATGTTTTAAACATTTTTATTGTTTTAGCTCTTGTTGGCCATCCTAGGCACCTTTGGGAGGAAGGCCAAGATACAAATTTAGCAAATAAATATTTTGAGACTATCCAATGCTTACTTTAAAGGTAAGTAAGATGCCACAAAATCACCATATCCACTATGTGCTTAGTTACCTTCATGCCAAATGGTCACTATGGCACATGCCTCTGAGTTATGTGTATTTTGCACTTTTGATGTGAGCGACAATAAGATCATTTCTTGGTGAAAAACTGAGCCTGACAGTGGCGGTCTACAAACTGCAGTGTTTCTCCTGCACAGCAAACCTCAGTTGGGACTCCTTGGTTTATCAGGGAGTTCAGACAATGAAACCAGTAGGGAGTTGACTTGAACACAGGTGGTGAAGTGTATACAACAAAGCAAAAGTAGGAACCCATTTGTGTGATGGCAGTGAAATCGTCCTCTAGCATTAAAAAAAAAAAGCTGTCCAGCAAAGCCCTTCTAGGTGGTAACAAGATTTCAACATGACCCTACAACCCTTGGATATTAGAACCCAAGTAATTATTATTGGTTCAGACATTGATGCCAATATTGGTACAGTTCCTCTTCTAGTCTTAGTTCCTGCAATTGGTTTCAGCTGATGTGGCATATGGATATGGGCTTTAAGGGCTTTAGCCTGCCACCAGTATTCTTAACCCCTGCCCAAACTAAGCCTCCTGGTTGTATATTGTGCTCAAATAGGCTTAGTTTGGTCAGACTGAGTATACACTTCCAGAGTTAACACTAAATACATTACTTCTGGTAAATGAGCCACCATAGCTGCTAGAAGGCTGTGTAAATTTGTGTCCCAGGCTTTTTTACTCATCCACCCATGTGAAACCAAGGGGTGAATTGTTTGTCGGATGTGAAATTTTATTCAGCTCTCCTACTACACTACAAAAACCAGGAAACATGGGGATCAGGAAACTATGGTTAATTTGTTTCTGGTTTAATTGTGGCCCAAAGCAATGGCTCGATGCACTGGCGAAAGTTTTGTTTATATCTTGCCTTGTTTATATCTTGCCTTATTAAATGGAGAAATGATCCCCTGGATACAGCCAATGTTTTCCCTGGATTTCACAGTATAACAAAGAATTTAAGAATTTCCATCTTTTAACTGTTTAAGGGGGTAGATACACTTTCATTTTTGGATGTTTACCTTGATTAGAAAATAATGTTTTTTTTTTGTTATTAAAACCACTTTTACTACTGAAATCCCTGAGGCTATTTTAACCCTAACACCTGTCACATATTTTTGCCTGAAACAGTATAATGTCACCAAACATTATATATAATTTCTTTTTTAACTAGGGAAAAGTAGTTAACTCACTTTTGAAATCATAGGATCATAATAAATGCTGATTTCACTTCCTTGCTGTATGCCACTATCAACACGTACCTACAAAAGAGTGAGACAAAAGAATATTACCACAGGCAAAAGAGGAGCCCGTGTCACGAGTCGGCATAGTACAGCAACAGCTCAGGGCCCACAGACTGGCAGAGGGCCCGCTGCTGACTTCAGACGATGGTCCAGTTTCCTGTTTCACAATGGGAGAGGTGTCCAGTTGCAGCAAAAAGTATGCACACAAATTCACACTCTGCTGCCTCCTCTAAGCACACTCCCACTAATATATGAGAGATTGCCTCAAAAGCCCCTGTGACAATTGCTGAGCCTCTAGGGCAAACATCTTGTTTCTTGTTGGGACTTGGGAGAAAGGGGCACAATAATGTACTCCTTGGAATAGAAGTTAATTACTGCAAAGCTCCTTCTTGGCATCTCTTAAACTGGGAAATGGATGCCTGCCCCCAGAGGTCCAGGTAATCATACATCTCCTAGTTTGGAAGATGCTCCAAGAAGCCAAAGGGAGGGCTTGGCCTCCAAACATCATGATGGCCCCAAAATATCTCTTCCAAGAGGAAAATGAAGTGTGTTTCAGAGAACTCTGAGAGACAGCAAGGTCACATTTCTGCTGGGAGGAACTTCTGGAAAAAGCAATGCCATAACACTCCTGTGGACTTTTAATCATCAATGGAGCTAAAAGGAGTACAAAACAGTTTCTGCTGTGAACTCCTTTAAGTGTCCTTCCCAATGAGTGGGTAAAATGAAGACTTAACGTGGATGTAATATGTGTGTGTGTTTATAAAGTGATTGGAGGAAGAGTATAGAATCTAAGAGTGTAAAAGAACAGTGTGGTGTAGGGGTCAAGGAGACAGAGCTCTGATGGGGAGAGAGAGCTATATAAGGCAGATTCAACAAGTAAAGAAGTGAGGGGGGGAATATTCCACAAAAACCCACAGTCATGGGCAAGTTATCTTTGTTAGCAGTCCATCGGTCAACATTATTTCACTTTACAAACCCTCCTAGAAGTATTTATATCCTGACACTCTTCTTTCTCTTCAGAGTCCAACTTTAAAAATAAGACATTTACAGAGGACCGGGTTTTGCAATTCTCAGATCTAGAATTTTCGTTGTCCAATTTAACTAGTGCCCCACCAAAACGCCCATGTAACTGATATATTGCATCAAAACTTTACATATATGCATCATCTGGGCCTCACCCCAGAAGGGCTGCTACAGAAACTTTAAAGTTCTGCTTATCAGCTCTATAGAAATACCAATACTCTAGCTTTCATGTCTGCAACACTTTCTTTTTCTTCCTCACTCTCATCTGTAGCATATTTTTCTTCTGATGATAGCATTCCCCTGAGGATTTAATGTTTACACAGCTTTTTCCATGGCTTTGCTTTATAAGGATACAGCTGCAATTAAAGTTCTGATTCTGCAACTCTTGTGGAGGGAGGAGGGAAAAAACACACAGAGAGAGACAAGATATGTCTTTGAAGAACCTGATAGCTGTTAGTCAGCCAACAAAATTCAGTATTACTGTTGATCTTTGTTTTCTTCTCTTGGTTTGATTTCTGCAAGAGTGGCACTGAGGTTATCCATATAAAAGTTTCAAAATGACTAATTCCTGAATAAATATTTGTTAAGATTGTTGCTTTTGAAATCTGGATAGCACGCTACTCACAACACCAACAGGATAATTCAAGACCATTCTGGTAATCTTAAAAAGAAACACCAAATGAGACTTGCTGGAGTGGAAGAGGTTTAATATGAAATACTCTGCTTGGGTTTGGCAGGGAGGGGGAAATGGGGCTTAGAAACCCCCTTCAATCTTCACCTGGGGGAAGAAACCCTTGTAATAAAACAGCAGCTCATCTGTCTGTAGCAAGGCAGAAAGAGGTCAACCCAACGGCTGTTAGGCTTTTAGATTTTAATTTAGGCAATTATCAAGGGGCCAGATGTAGAACCTCTTGTCTACAGTATCCACATGAGGTCACACTGATGACTTTATTATCCAAATGACATGTCCTAATAGGCTTTATTCTCTGCAATGAAAACTGCATCACATTTTTTTCCTGGTAGAAAAAAAAAAGATAAACAGTGCCTTTATCATAGTAAGAGTACATCTTCATTAATCAGTAATCAGCATGGTGGTTTTAGCTATCCCCGTGCCATGGAGGAAAAGAAAAACAGGAAGTATTGAAAGGTCATGAGCATCGTTGTAGAGAAGGAAACTGATTATGTGAGATGTTTTGTATCATCGTCAATTTTAAAAAATTATCACCTAAATAGAAACCTAACCAAAACAAGCTAAGGTTGGAAAAAGTTCAGCCTTCCATCACCAGCAATGTAATGTTTGCAATCATCAACCTTCTCTCCCCCAAATATCCACAATAGGAACTATCAGAAACAGGTCAAGAAACTGCAGAGAGAAGAAGGCATAATTCCACAAGAAATACAGAATTAACTTCTCATTATATTTAAGACTCAAAAGCCTTGCAGCAAAATAGTGGCCACAGTTCAGTATCTACATGAGTTTGGGGCTCCAAAAATGCAAAATTATTGTTCAGGCTTAACATATCAGAACTTATTCATAAACATGAATACATTATTGATAAACAAGATTGTCAGTTAAGTTCTTCAGAAACACCAAATATGGCATACCATGTTTGTACATTCACAATCTTTTTAGGTCCCCATGCTATCTATGCTGTCTACTGTTCTAACACAAGTTACAAACTAGTGCAACGTACTTTTAGTCATTTAGCTGTTCTTTATATACAGAGAACAGGGTGAAATTCCTGGCGACATCTCTCTCCAGCCTTGAATTTTTTTTTAAACCTCTCAATTCTTCTGACTCACAACAGCAATAGCTTCTTTTCTTTAGCCACAAGATGTGGAAATAAATGGTTAGAGAGGGTCAAAACTGACAATAACTAAAAAGAAATAATAAGCCAGTTAACAATCTGACTGTGCACAGCCTCGATGCACAATCTGACAACAGTGTTTCACTGTGTTACCTAATTCTCAGTGTAGAATATTCCTCTTATGTAGCTGAAGCCAATACTGAATTCATTCTGTCCCATATGGATGCCTAGTTCTCTGTTCAATACAGGAACTGTCCACAATTAGGAGGAGGATAGAAATCTAGAGCATTCTGCTTAAAATCGTATTGGGGAAACAAATGCACGTTTATGATGGAGCAAGGTGACAGTTATATCAGCACACCACCAGAAAGCGATTAATTATGTCCAAATTGCAGGCAAACATGTTCACTGTAGTATGCTCTATTCACAAAAAATAGCTCCTTTTGTTGCACTTGTAAATCTGGCTATTTTGAGTTCTAAAAGCAGCCACTGCCTATGCGGTTATTCAGTTAGAATGATAAAAGGAATGTGTGTTTCTGGATGCTTTGGGGCAAGGAACTTAAAACACAAATGCATTAAGATCAACACTATGGCTAAATAAAAGCAGATGGTCTGGCTTCTCCACAGCTACAGTATAAGGTGTGAGGCAAGGTAGGAATATACATAATGGAGATGGTTGCAATATCACCACAGAAATGGAGTTTTGTATCATGCACACACAAGCATTGACGCCACACCAGGACTCAAGTTCTCTGTTTCATGCCAGATGTGTAGGAATGAAATGCTGGTAGTCAAATTGTGAGCCAAAACTATTTCAACTAATTTGTACATGCTGCCCCCTCCTTAACCTTCCCCATTCTTATTACTTCATGTGTGCCAGGGCTGAGCTCCAGCTGTAAACAAGCTACTTTAGACCCTCCTTAAGTAAAAGTATCTAGAAGTTTGACAGCTATCATTTATAGGAATGGCCAATAATGGAATTCAACGTTAAGGCATAATGTAGTGTCTTATTCCATGCCTTCCTTTCATCATGCACTGTCTACATCAGTGTTTTCTCAAACTTGGGTCTCCAGGTGTTTTCAGACTACAATTCCCATCATCCCTGACCACTGGTCCAGCTAGCCAGGGATGATGGGAGTTGTAGTCCAAAAACAGCTGGAGACCCAAGTTTGGGAAACACTAGTCTACACCTTCAATTTAAAGCATAAACAAACATCCCATGTCAGAGACAGTCAATGCTCCTATGCCAAAGGTAAACTCAAAGAGCAATACACACACCCAAAACCTTACTCTGAGAAGCTCGGCTTACAATAAAATGTTGCTGCATGGAGCGCGTGCTCAGTGTTACAGTCATTCAGTCCTCCTCACTAGGTAAAGGTAAAGGTAAAGGGAGCCCTGACCATTAGGTCCAGTCGTGACCGACTCTGGGGTTGCGGTGCTCATCTCGCTTTATGGGCCGAGGGAGCCAGCGTACAGCTTCCGGGTCATGTGGCCAGCATGACTAAGCCGCTTCTGGCAAACCAGAGCAGCGCACGGAAACGCCGTTTACCTTCCCACCGGAGCGGTACCTATTTATCTACTTGCACTTTGACGTGCTTTCAAACTGCTAGGTTGGCAGGAGCAGGGACAGAGCAACGGGAGCTCACCCCGTCGCGGGGATTCGAACCGCCAACCTTCTGATCGGCAAGTCCTAGGCTCTACCCACAGCGCCACCCGCGTCCCGTCCTCCTCACTACTCCTTTCTTATTCCCTCCCACCAGCCTTCCCATCCCTGCCCACACTAAACAATCAGCACTCCATAGCTGTATGGCCATCCCCAACTCAGGGCTTGTATTTTATTTTATTTAAATTATTATTCTTCTGCAACACTTGAAGTTCCCGCAGACCAGCTGATACCTCCTCTTGTGTGTGGATGGTGTCGTTTTGGTCACATAAAGATCCACGCTTACTTCTGAACATTAAAAATAAGAGTGAATTCGTGTATTAGAAAGAAAATGCTATGGCTTTTGCCATATAATTCAACTTTCTGAATCAAATAGCTTCCCACAGTTGTCAGATTAATGTCTTCATTTCGAAAGTTCTCTTTCAGCATAAAAAAGACAAGCAAACAGTTTGCAAACGGGGGGGGGGGGATCGCTGCTCTGTTTTTAACAAAATGGTGGCACTACACAGAAAGAGAAAGGGAAAGGCCCAGCCACGCTGTATGAGATCCTCAAAACCATTACTCTTAGGCTTCCAGGATAATTAAAATTTCTTCCCTCAGTACCACGATGGGCCACGTGAATCTATCAGGCATCTCCCACCCTTCATTTTCAATTCACCTCTCCCCCTAAGCACAAATCCCAACCCGCCATGTCTACCTGACAAGTGACAGCCCAATCTGATTAAATGCTTGCAAAGGAGAGGACTCATGGGCCTCCATGACAGGCCAAAAGTGATCACCATGGAGATACATAATTACAGCTGTCAACGCATCTACTGTCCTGCTGGCATCAATTTGATTGCTCCCAGCAATAATGATAGACAAAGCTTAGTATGCACTCTCTTGCACCCAATCACTTTGTCTATTCCGTGGTCCATTTAGCTGACATGCAACATTCGCACAAGCAAATAACAGCAGTAAGCAGAACATTTAAGGCATTTTAATTGTTTTTTTTTCTTTCTCTGGATGGCTCACAAGTGCAAATGTTATTACATAAAACTCCTGCTGCAGCATTAATTGAAGAAAGATTTGGTGGGACAAAGACTGTAGGGGGTACAGTTTGTCCATTATCACTTGTACTTTCAACAGGTCTCATGTTTAGAAAATTGCAAATTGCAAAAACTTGCAAGGGCAAAATATTTGACATCCTGTTAGCTATTACAACATGGTGAAAAACCTCAACCTGCCCCCAGAGTAATTACTGAAAATTATTTCTTAGTTCATTTGGGTTTCATTAAATATGCTTAAGATACATTCCCTCTGTAATAGCTGGGGTTTTTTTTATCTTCCATTCAACATCACATAGTGCCTGCTAAACCTTGACAATTTGTATTTCTCCTTTTAAGCTTTGAACACAGCATGGAGCCTTAAAGCCCAAGAAAGGGTCAGGTCCTCTCTAGGAAGCATATGGGCAAAAACAATTTAAGAAGTGAAATAAATCCTATATCCAATAACATCACCAAATTTAGGATCCGGCCTGTAATCTTATGCCATTTTTTCCATGCAAGTAATCATGGTAAATCATCATATTCACAGATGGTATCGGCTTGTCATTTCACAAAGCCGACACCATGCCATATATACACACTTATTACTTTGACTACCTTGATTATACAGAACAGAAGAGATGCCCTTGTCTTTTCTGTGCTGGTTGTTAAACAACCACTCTAAACAGACAGTCTACAACACTGAAATGTGTAATAATCACTTTTCATCAACTGTAGTAAATTGCGTTTGGTCTCTAAAGCTTGAAAGCTAAACAAATAGGACCACTCCTCTTTGGGGCATTTAGCACTTTGCAGGGATAGGCAATTGAACATTTTATTTTGCAGTTTGATCTTCTAGTTATAGTTACTGCTGCTCTAAAAACCAGAATTATAGGACAGATATCGCGAAAGTATAAATAATGGGTTTGTAGAATAGTTCCCTTTTTAAAAGCCAAATCCTGTTTCTTTTTGACTGTATCGTATTTCTAATTACTACAAGCTAACAGAATCTAACTCCATCTCCCTTAGTTAATAAACGAGTTTAAGGTGGCTTGTTTTAAGCAGCACTGAACATGAACGACTTCTAGTGAATTCAATGAGATCTGTGGTTTCTTAGTGCCTGTGAAAATGAGAAACAAGGAAACATAAGAATTACTTACATTGGGCACATGCAGCGGCTCTTTGTACTGAGACAATCTACCAATAGATGGCAGACCAAAAGATTTGTAGGGATCCTAAAATGAAATTCAAACACAGGGAGGTATTAACTTTGTAAGACAAAGCACAGGAAACAAGGTTAAGTCACTGGGAAGCCAACGGTTTCCTCCACTTTAATTTTCAACCAACTATATTTTGTTTTCAAAATGACTTATTTTGGGGGGATATGAATTTGCTTCTTCCATTCAAGTCATGGAAGGTTTGTTAAAGCTAAAAACCTTCCTGCTGTGCCTTTATTAAGGCAAGGGCAATCTTTCTAAGAGAAGGCACAATAGTAGGGGCACAGACAGAGAACAAAAACACATAACACAAAAAGAAAATCTGAAAAAAAACACAGACGAGCATTCAAGCTTCAATGTTTTCAGGATCACAACCCAAATAATTCACTAACACTTAATATATTTAAGGAACAACATAGTGCATAAATGCATGATTCTGCGGTGGTCAGTGTGAGAGTTGGAAAGTTTCTGTCCACCATTACAGTGTTAAATTCTCTGTTCAAAATCCCAGCTTGTCTTTATTTGATGAACACACAGAGACTGGACACAGAATCAATTAATGGCAGTACCAAAACCACTAGTAATATTAATATCACCTTGTGTTATTATAATGTTAATATTTTTAACTGCTTTGTAAACAAGTTGTACTTTGGGATTCACACAAGGTAATGTGTAGTGAACGTTAAGAAAAAGAATCAACCACCCCCATCCCTAAATGCCAGGGAGAGACATGCAACACTGTTTAAACAAGGGAAAGGCTGTAAAGAAATGAATGAAAAACACACACACACATTATAGAAACTGAAGATAACTGCCCAAAGCATTCACATTCATATTAGGAAGCTAAAGTTGAGAATATTTCAGGCAAAGTCTTGGTTTCAAATCTCAGCGGATCGGTGTGCAAAAGTTTGGTTGGTTAGTTCTAAATAAAAAAGAGGATTGTTTTTGTGTGTGGTTTTTGTTTTTTAAAAAAGTAATTGGCAGCCACTATACTATCTAGTCATACTGAACATGTAGGGCAGCCACTTGACCTTTCCAGAGGATCCACTTGAAAAATAGCAAAGCTAGCACGAGTTCATAAGAAAGCTAATGTTGAAATAGCTCATGTTGAAATATTGTATGAAACTGCTAAAACATGGCATGACTGCAGAATACTCTTCTTCCAAATGTGGTATATAATTCCCGCCCCCGCCCCCAATCTTTGCATAAAGAAAGCAAAAAAGAAAAAAGAAACGCTACCCAAAAACCTTAAATCAATTGCGTCACATGAAATGGATCAAGCTGAAAGACACAGTCTTGGGTGGTTTGCTACACCTGGCACTAACAGCTTCTTACACAGCCGTTCACCCTCCCAGACGTTAACAGTTATTTTACCTCAGCATATACTCGACATTCAACCGCCCAGCCGTTGATAGGAATATCAGCCTGTTTGTGCCTCAGAGGGTAACCCTTGGCAACACGGATCATTTCTTGGACTAGGTCCAGACCGGTAATGCATTCTGTGATGGGATGTTCAACCTGCAAGGTCAAGAACTGTCAGTCAGTACATAACAAAACAACTAAATTCTCCCCACCACCCAATAAAACAAAAAATACTGAAAACTCAAAAGAGGGTAATTTACAATAACGGCCATTCTTCTTGTCATATAGCTACTCAGGAGAGCAAGTCCTGCATTCAAGATGTATTGCAGAAATCAGACAGGAGCAATACAGCTAAGCAAAGCAAAACAAAATTGCAGGCAATGGGGAAAATTTTCATATATAGATATATAGATTTTTTTTAAAAAAAAAACAACACCTTGATATTTAATGATGAAGACTGAAGTTGTTTTTGAAGCATTTAGAGATGGGACTTTCGAAGTTGGTCTCTTTTTTAAAAATAATAATCTAGAAACACACAAAGTATTTTGACTGAAAGCTCAAAGTAGCTGGCTGATAATCAACCCATTCTGCTACACTTAACATGGCATGTACAGGAGCAGCCTACAATCTTCCATAGAACCAGACTAGCCTAAGTCTCACCCACACGCCTGCTTTCACTAACCTGTCCTGACAAGCAACCAGATTAGCGTAATCTTACATCAGTGCAGTGTAGCAGAAATGAGCAGATGGATCCTTCAGGTTTTTTTCCCCCCTCCAGACTTATCTGTGTAGTGCTTAGCATACACAATAGCTGAGCTGGACCAGTAGAATCACTGTGTGCTCTCAGCAAATAGCTGCTAACGGCTCAGGATGATGCTGTCATGGGAATACCCCTCATTCACAGTGAAACCAAGCAGGAGAGCGAGTACACAAGTCTCTCTTGTTGTTAAGACGGATTTACGTACATGTGTATTTAACTTACCAAATGTAACTTAATCGGCATGGAAGAATTATAAAATAGCCACATGCAAAGGGAGCAAGTTAAGTAACTTGGTAGCCAAATTCTATAAAATTAATAAGTGCACTTGCCACATTGGTTTGAGAGAGAGAGAGAGAGAGATGGATGATCTGATCTGCCATTTTTAGTGTAAAATGCTTTTTTGTAGCTCAAGTCATGTATCTTTAAGACACCCTATTTTACAAGTGTTTCTCTATCCAGAGATGTCATACCACATGTATTTTGTGACACAGGAAAAGGTCACTGAACAAACTAGGTATTTCCCCTTCAAGTACATTAATTGAAGGAGAACATTTTGTCCATTGTAATATCCTTGCAGTGGGTCTTGCAAAAAAGAAGAAGAAGAAGAAGAAGAAGAAGATAGTAAAATAAACAGATGGCACCCATAATTAGTCCTCTGTGCATTTTGAGTTTGTTTACAGCACCATATTTTAAGACAGCCTGACAACTTTAATGACATCACTGAAATAAGTACCTTATATTTTTTTTAAAAAGAAGAGATGTTGGACTGAAATGGGAATTTGAATGTGCAGCTTAGGAAGCTACCGCTGGGATTCTTAAAACTTTTGGCAAACACATGATACTCCTCAGGTATGTCAAACGTAATGGTACTTGAAGAGACTCCCAAAAGAATTCTGTACCTTCCCTGCCGATAGTGCTCAACTGACGCCATTCATGTTCTATTAAAACTTCACAAATTATCAACATTTTGGGGCGGATATAGTTTATTTTCTCAGGTTTTTAAAAAAGTGTCTTTGAGATAACTACATCCTCAAAACCATGTTTTGGAAAATAACTGAATTCTTTGTAAAGGCATTTTAACTGTTTAATTTTATCTTCCTTTTCCCTTGAATCATCATCCCAATGTGAAATGAAACAGACCCATTGTAAAGTTTCATTGTTAATGATCAAACTAGGATGGAACTTCTCCGGAAAGCAAAGTATGGGTGTAGTTTATTCTCAAAACACTTACAAACATTTATTTAATCAATTCTTCAAAAGACATCTTTGTCTCTATAAACATTATTGTCTATTGCGTCAATATACTTCCTTTGTACAAAGCTGGGGGGGGGCAGGGGACAGGGAATGGGAATGGGAATGGGAAAAAGTTGGGCATATTCATTTTGCTGAAACTATTTAAGCACTCTTGTTGTTCTACAAGAATGTAATCAAATTTATATATTTATTTTATGTGTTTTTCTTTTACATCTCTACTTGAAAAACAAGTCTATGCAGAAATGATAGGCCCCGTCAGAAGGATGCTGGCTTAGAAAGTTAGTAGCCTTGGCAGATTAGCAGTCATTGGGCAACAGCAGCAACATCAAAACGGAAGCAGTTTGAGAAGGTACTGCTATATTCAATGGGATGTTGGAAGTAGTTTGGAGTCCTTTAAGACAGACTAACTGTCAGACGTGAGTGGTGCTGTGGGTTAAACCACAGAGCCTAGGACTTGGTCCCTGCTCCTGCCAACCTAGCAGTTTGAAAGCACGTCAAAGTGCAAGTAGATAAATAGGTACTGCTCCGGCGGGAAGGTAAAGGGCATTTCCGTGTGCTGCTCTGGTTCGCCAGAAGCAGCTTAGTCATGCTGGCCACATAACCCGGAAGCTGTACGCCGGCTCCCTCAGCCAGTAAAGCGAGATGAGCCCCGCAACCCCAGAGTCGGCCACGACTGGACCTAATGGTCAGGGGTCCCTTTACCTTTTTAACTGTCAGAAAACCACAGCTACTTAGAAGACACTCAAAAATATCTGAAAGTGTGACTGATGTGAGGCCTGCTCAAGGAAACTCTGTCCATTATGGAGATAAAGCCTACCTAAAACATAGCATTAATCCAACGAGAAACTCAAGTAGAAAGGGGCAAATTGCAGTTAGATGCTCTACCTCGACTGCTGAGGTCGTCTCAGTACTTTATTTCTAGAAAAAAGGTGCTGTTACTCACCATGAAGTTGTTACAGTAATTGCCACACCTTTAAACAACAAAAAACTAGAGGTGCTGGTACTGCGTACCATTTAGTACCCCCCCCCCCCACACACACACACACATAAGCACTGGGTCTTCTGATCGGCACCTTTGGTGGTCCTACATGCCCCTGTGGTTAAGCTGGTCGTTACTAGAGACCAAGCCTTTAATGTTGCAGGTACTGCTCTGTGGAACTCCATGCTAACAGATGTTTAGGAAGAACCATCCCTGCTATTTTGTCGGCATAATCTAAAAACTCTATTATCCAGACAAGACTTTCAAACTTGAGGTTCTTTGCCAACTAGTTCCTATTGACGTGTTCGGTTTTTATTGTAATACTGACAGAACATCTTTACTGGAGAAAATTACTGAACTGCAACCTACTTCAGCTGGGATTCACATTTATGTAATAAAGATATAGACACACAGACTTTTAACAGAAAATGAAAAATGGAACTCCTGACTTTGCACATATCAAGTGTTCTCAAAACGTGTTCTCCATGCAATACCAGCATGACCCTCCTTCTTTAGTAAATGACAAAACAATTGCATGCAATCTAAATATATATCATATAGGAGGAGCGGGCAATTTTCAAGATCCTTTTCGATCTGGAGTTAGGCATAGTTTGGGCACAGAAATGGCTTTGGTTGAGGTTTATGATGACCTCTGTTGGGCAACACACAGAGGGAGTGCATCACTGCTAATTCTCCTTGATTTCTCAGCAGTTTCTGATAATATTGACCATGGTATTGTTCTAGAGCGACTGTCTAAGTTGGGGTTGGATGGCATAGTGCTGTGGTGGTTCCAGTCATACTTGGGTGGTTTTTTCAGAGAGTGGTACTTGGGAAATGTAGTTTGGCCATGTAGAGCCTTCAATGTGGGATTCCACAGGATACGATTTCATCCCCCATGCTGTTCAACATCTACATGAAACCACTGAATGGGGTTGTCCAGGGTTTTGGAGTATGTTGTCAACAGTATCCTGATGAAACATATGCTCCACTTCTCATTTACATCTGCAGGCGTGACACTGGATGGGCTAGACCAGGCATCCCCAAACTTGGCCCTCCAGATGTTTTGGAACTACAACTCCCACCATCTCTGACTAGGGATGTTAGCTAGGGATGATGGGAGTTGTAGTCCCAAAACTTCTAGAGGGCCAAGTTTGGGGATAGCCTGGGCTAGAGCAATGTTTTGTCTTGGTAATGGGTGCTTGATGAGAACCAGTAATCTGAACCTTAATGCAAACAAAACTAAGGCACTGTTAGTGGGTGGTTCTCTAGACCAGATTGATGGGATGTGGCTGGCACTGGATCAGGTTACACGCCCTCTGAAAGAGAAGGTATGTAGCTTGGTGGTACTACTAGATCTAATACTGTTGCTTGAAGCTCAAGTGACCTCGGTTTGCTTCAAATGCTTTCTATCAGCTTCAACTGATGACTCAGGTGCACCCCATCTATGTCTAGCTTCTGTTGTCTATGTTCTGATAACCTCTGGGTTGGATTACTGCAATGTGCTATACATAGGACAGCCTTTGAAGTTGGTACAGAAATTGCAGCTGTTACGGAATTTAGCAGCCAGACTGATGGCCAGGACAGGACAGCCCAAACATATAACAACACTTCTGGCATGACTGCACTGGCCACCAATCAGCGTCTGAGCTCAGTTCAAAGTGCAGGTTTTGACCTATAAAGCCTAATGTAGTTCAAGACTGCAAGAGCTCAAGGACCACCTCTCCCCACATGAACCAGCCCAGACCCTGTAATCATCATTTGAGGCCCTTCTCCAAGTGTCTCCTTCATGGAAGATTCAGAGGGTGGGTACATGAGAACAGGCTTTTTTAGCGGTGGTTCCCCATTTGCTGGGAGGGTGCAGCCTTTTTTCAGGCATCAGGCAAATACTTTCCTTTTTACCTGGGCTTCTGACCATTAATCTGAAGGGTTTTCAAGTACTTGTTGACTCTTTTTAGTGGAGCAGAATCTGCAGGACCTATCTTTTATTTGTATAGATGGGGGGAAGGTGTTAGGTTTTTGCTGACTGTATTTATTTTAACTGGTTTTAGTATTTCTACTGTGTCTGTAAGTTGCTTTAAGTCATTTCCATGAGCAAAGCAACTAATAAATAATAATAATGTTGAAGATGGTCGAGAGTTTGAGATTTCCCTTTGATTTAACCAGCAGCAGGCAGCATTAACAATTCTACGTTGCCTTTTCTGCCATTTATTTCTGGCACATTTTCCTTTATTTCAGTTTCATCACTTTATTCTCTATCCCCCCACTAAGCGGCTGTCTGGCTGAGTAACAATGTTTGGACTTCAGGCTGTGTGTATAACTTCGACATCCTTCTTTCCATTCTCCATTCTCCTCCTCTTTCCTTCCTTCCTTGGCTATTTGTGATTTGAAGGTGGAGCCAGAAACACAAACACACAGCCTAGTATAACATAGCCACCATAGCACTCTCTTGTGTTTCCCAACTGGGTTATTTTATTTTCTGTCCCCTAAAATAGTAAGAATGTGGAAGCTATTGCCATAAGAGCACATTACTGTGATTCTTTGGTAGGAAAACACACAGCATTCTAAACAGCTAGTTAGGCTCTACAGTGGTACCTCAGGTTACATACGCTTCAGGTTACATACGCTTCAGGTTACAGACTCCACTAACCCAGAAATATTACCTCAGGTTAAGAACTTTGCTTCAGGATGAGAACAGAAATTGTACTCCGGCAGAGCGGCGGCAACAGGAGGCCCCATTAGCTAAAATGGTGCTTCAGGTTAAGAACAGTTTCAGGTTAAGAATGGACCTCCGGAACAAATTAGGTACTTAACCCGAGGTACCACTGTATCTCAATCCCTTTGGCTAGCCATTTAAGCCCCAAGAAGCCAGAGACAGCATCTCACTCTGTACCTTCAATCCTTATAGGAACAGAGAAAGTTTTAGAAAGATTGGTTAAATGATGTTGGCTTTGTGCATATGTGGGAGCACTTTAGAGAAAAAGATCTGAAATACAGTATTTGAAAATTTACAATAGTGGGGAATCAGGTTGAATACAATGGTGTACATAGGACACACAAACTTGCAACGCGAAGTATGAAATTGTGCTTAGCTCTATTGCGATATTTATGCTGGAGTTGAAGTTCAACAAGTTCTTCCTGCATTCAGCATGATTATTTCTACAGCTGACCTATTCTGCATTTTATTTATTGTATGATTGAATGCAAAAGTGTGGAACAAGTCTCTCTGGTAGCCAGAGAAATGCAAGCAAGAGACACAAGACCACTCTCTTCAACCACTTCTTCGGAGTATGTAAAGCTATAAATTACTTCATTCACTTCATGATGATAGTGTTCATGTTCAATTGTGATCCTCCTGCCCCCACCAATCCCACTGCTCAAAGTCCTGTACAGTGGTACCTCAGGTTAAGTACTTAATTCGTTCCGGAGGTCCGTTCTTAACCTGAAACTGTTCTTAACCTGAAACACCACTTTAGCTAATGGGGCCTCCTGCTGCTGCCACGCCGCCGGAGCACAATTTCTGTTCTCATCCTGAAGCAAAGTGCTTAACCCGAGGTAATATTCCTGGGTTAGCGGAGTCTGTAACCTGAAGCGTATGTAACCTGAAGCGTATGTAACCTGAAGCGTATGTAACCCGAGGTACCACTGTACTGCAGTGTCCCTGTCTTACATACAGAGCTCAGTGCAGAGCAGCAGCAAAACAGATCAGGGAAGAGCAAAGTGTCCGAGAGCTCCTCTTCAGGTCTTGATAAGCCAATGTTTGGCTTAGCGCATTGTGCACATCAACCAGAGTTCTCTGATATATTCAGCTCAGTGTCTTGCTTACAATTTGTGTTTTTCATGTGCAATCACCGAGGGTGCTGCAAAAACTTCCCAGATGGAGAAACCCTGTCGTTGGAAACTTTAGAAAGCCTGTTTAAACACTATTCAGTCAGATCTGTTCTTTCCAACTTTATCGGAAATGCACTAAGCTTTAATTAAAATGTTTGTTAGGTGCATTTCTCTAATTCCTCTATCTTGGCTGTGTATTGTCTCTAATTAGTGTTTCAGTTTGAAGCTGGTGAGTAGTAATTTTATTGGCCTCATCTACAGTTTTCCCAATTGATCTGTCACTTTTCCCCAACCCTCAAACTTTGATGCCTATTAGCAGACTTGTAACTAGCCATCTAAGCTTTTCTCCCTTTTTAATTAAGAGCCAAACTTAGTAATTCTCATAAAGCTTTTTTCCTCCAAATTTAACTCTAGAGCCAGGAGAATCTGCAGATGTGTTTCTGTTTACAGTCAATTTTTAAATGACACGCTGCTGCTGCTGCCTTCTCTAACATCCATGTTCTGGGGAGCTCAAGATTGCTAGACAGCTCCTTCATTTGCTGCTTTTGCACTATACCTGGAAATATCTGCATCCACCAAACTGAGTTTTGAAAGGCTGTATTTGACCGCATTTAGAGGCTTCTTTCAAAAACCTACATTAGACTATCTTAAGGTTTTTTATTTAATGGCAGCTCAGCTCAGCTCATGGCACTCTTCAGAGGAAAATATTTTATTCTATGCGTCTCTCCATTGCTCATTTGCTACCTTGATTACACTGTTTTCATGATCACAAAATGTTAAGACCATTTAGCTGCGGTGGGGGGGGGCGGGATGAGAAATTCCAAAGGCACAACACAAAAAGGTCTTCGACAGGAGCCATACTCTGCCTGGCACAAAGGAATGAATGAGCAACTGTGAGCCAGCATCTGCATCTATGTGCCCAGTCTTGCATTCTGCTCTCTTTTCACAAGAGCTGATACTATCTTGTTGTAAGAATTACAGTGGAACCTCGGGTTGGGAACGTGGTCCGTGCAGGAGGCACGTTCGCAACCCACATCGCCGCATCTGTGCACGCATGGGTTGCGGGTCGTAATTCAGCGCTTCTGCACATGCGTGAGCACCGAAACCCGGAAGCAACCTGTTCTGGTACTTCTGGGTTCAGCGCGGTGCGCAACCTGAAATCGCGTAACCTGAAGCATCTGTAAACCGAGGTTCCACTGTATTTTGAATGTTTTCCAGAAGCAATGTTGAGTTCTGTGCTGCCATATTGTTTCTACATTATGAAGGCTGCAGATATTTGGAGGCAATGAAAATTATTTTCATGGGTAAATTTGCTAGTGTATGATACCCCCAACCATCACTTCAGTCACTGTAACTTCTTACATAACATTTCTGCTGCAACACCACTCCGGTCCACATTTTACGTGTTCAAAGAGTTTTAAGATTTTAGCTGAAATGTATCCCTTGCCAAGGCATGCCAAGGTCAAACTACATGCCTTGTTTCCCTATAAACAGTATGATGATTGACAAGCACGAGTGCACATTCACCAGATCGAGTAAACTTCTCTGTTCAAGGTCTAACTCAAAATCACCACTGTTCAGCACAACATATCACAACCACAAACTCAAGTGAGGAAATCAGCACTGGGAATAAAATGCTATCTTAGTGTTGCTCTGCTATGGGGTTTTGAAGAAACTTGAAAAGTTTTTAGCATAAAAATACAATTTTTCATCCACCCATATTCTAAAAATAGTGTACCTCTCCTCCTTCTCACTCCCCCAGTACCTGAAGTCTAGTGTTCATTTCCAAGAAGAAGAAATTCTTTTTTGAGTCTATAAGGAATTCCACTGTTCCAGCAGATGAGTATTTTACAGCTTTTGCAAGAGCCACTGCTTGTTCTCCCATAGCTCTGCGTGTCTCAGGATCCAGGAAAGTGCTACACGAGTAGAGAGAAAATGTGTTGGAGGGGTTAAATTCAGCAAAGGGAATTTTTGATACTTTAAGACACCCAAATATCAAGAGGAAATGTAATGTGAAGTAACTGCCACCCAAAGCAAACCATTAAACACTGGTAACTACATGCTTGTGAATTACATTTTAAAAAACCCTGACTTTTAATATTCAACCAACAAAATTAATGCTAAAATTAAACATTCTAAGTTCACATATTTCAAAATCTGTGTCCAAGTCGGTAATGTAATTTAAACACTAGCTGATCACAGCTGTCCCTTATTTTGAAATATTGAAAGAATACCCCTTACATAAGCCACATTTCTCAAGGTCATTTAGAAAATATGGAACACTTCTACCAATCAGATTTTTTGGTCTACTTAACCAATATGCAAGGATGCTGTATAGGAGAAATATGGACTTCATTTCTACTACTACTACTTCTACTACTATTATTATTATTATTATTATTATTATTATTATTATTATTATTATTTCTTCCTCGTCCTTCATTATAAAGGCAGGTTACAACAATATAAAAACAAAAAAATTCCTTCCAGTAGCACCTTAAAGACCAACTAAGTTAGTTATTGATATGAGCTTTCGTGTGCATGCACACTTCTTCAGATACACACAGTGCATGCACACGAAAGCTCATACCAAGAACTAACTTAGTTGGTCTTTAAGGTGCTACTGGAAGGAATTTTTTTGTTTTGACTATGGCAGACCAACACGGCTACCTATCTGTAACAATATAAAAGTACAGTATTAAAATAATTTACAACCAGAAGAACAGAACGTCAAAAGCGTGCACCTTCAGCATACAATAAAAGCTATACAATGGTGGTGTTAAGACATGTCTACAGGGGAATTCCACCATTTAGGGGCTGCCACAGAGAAAGCCCTCTCAGATTGCCATTCCCACATTCCACATGCTGCCCAGAGGGGGGCTGTCCGCTGCATCTCTACAATTCACTGCTCTGGCCTTGTCTCCTTCCTGTCAATGTCCACTGGGGACAGTTAATTCTGCTATTTCTCTGCATTTGGTGTGATTTGAACTGCTGAGAATTTCAGGTGCTCAGAGGAGATACGCGCAGAGCATTCCCTTGAGGCCAGGCAGCAATTATTCTTTCACACTTTAAATGCCAACTTTTTGGATAGAAGAGGGGCTTGCTTCCAGTTCTATTTCAGACAAAGAGCTCCAGTCCCTGATTTGCCAGCAAGGACAGTTGCTAGGGTCCTCAAGTTTTGTGTGTGTGTGTGTGTGTGTGTGTGTGGAGAAGCAATACCATTACAAGAATTCAACTTTTTAATGCAATTCTACACCATCTCCAAATTGCAGTGGTGTTATCTATTTGTTCACAACATGTGTGTTTTCTCAGAGAACTGAGGCAATAGACAGAGGGCTGGATGGATGGAATGACTGAAAATCTTGAAATGAGAACCTTGCCGTTCCAAACTGAACTGTGTTAACGTTTCAACTTTAGCCTGTTACTCTGAATATGACATACAATGACAGTAACAGCTTGCATCTTAAATTATTCTCTCAACTTTACCCTAAAGCTGAAAGTTTTAATTTTCTGTTTTTCTTACTTTGATTCATCTGTTCCACACAGCAGGGCTCTCTTCCCTCCCCTTCGTGGACACAGCTGTTTCTTCTGCCCTCGAGTGCAGTTGTCGAACCCTCTTGGGATTCCCTCTTAAGACTGTTCCCCCAACCAGCAAGTTTCCTCACTACAGGGTACTAAATATATCATCTTCCAGAGGCTTGCCAATTCAGAAAAATATATATATTCTAGCAGTGCTTCTCTGTACTGTTTTGGTATTTCAAATGTAAAAGTTTTACTACTTTTACCTATCAAAGCATGGCATAGGTTGCTCCCACCTTCACTCTGTGAAGTAATCCAAGCATACAAGAGCATGCAGAATTTTGAAAAAGTAAAATATGGCAAAAATTGTTAATTTGAAAAACTGCAAATGTGGTGAAAATTGTAATTTGAAAAAGCGAAACCTGTCTCCATTCTCATCTCCAAGAAGCAAAAGAAGTTTCAACATAGTACTGAAAAACAAATATTTTATCAAATATTAAGACTGCTTCAAAAAAAATAAATCGCCCAGTGTATTTCCTATCAAGCCAACATCTCTCACTTTTCCCCCTTCATCTATTCTCATCTAGTCCACTTTGAAGCAAACACCACAAGTATTTTATTATACTTCTTATATTAGAGTGGTAAATCAAAGAAATGTAATAATCTCAATGGCAAGGGAGCCAGAGAATAAGAAGAGAGCTGTGCAACAGAAGGCATTTCCTGTGCTTAAAATGTAATGAAAATCTGTGATTATTAAGCTCCTACAAGGAGCTGGGTGCTGTACAGGAATAATGATAAATAAAACCAGCGTGCCAATTCACCGTCTAAGAAAATAAGACACACTAGGGAAGGTGGAGGGAGAATGAGTGGAGGAAGACAGCAGTGGGATAAGGAAGCGGAACACATTTTAGGAGGATCTGCAGTTTTCACAATACCTTTGTCCCACTGAAGCCCTCGCTAATCCAAAACAAAAAACTTTTATAGTAAACTTGTTAGGCTCTCATGACTATGGCTTGTGGTGACATATGGAATGGACCTCTAATCCACAAACCTCCTTCTCTATCACTACACAGAGGCACATGCAATAAGGGTCAGCCAATTTTGCCATCCATCAGCTCCTCCTTGTATCTCACAGGACCCCTGATGTTTGAGGTTGCTGGAAAGTAAAGTTCAGGGCTGAGCAGAATAAACTTTTTGCTTCTCTGGATACAAGCAGTACAAAATTATGCTTGCACTAGGACACAAAGTGCTCACTAAGAAGGGGGGGGGTGTCTCCTTGAACGTCCAGTTCACTGTCTGCTTGAAATCTGGATTCTCATATATTTCTAGGGAATTATCAAATCTGAACTGGCAATTTTATTTATTTACAAAATACAGCATGTGCGTAAAGCTATGGCACAGATATTATGCACTGTTATTGGCTTGGAGTCATTCTGTACATACAATTAACTTTCTTCTAATTTTCTGATGGCGGTCCAGCATTTCAAAATTTGAAATGCCACACATAATCCTTTTAATCTGAATGAAACAGATTTCAGAAATCCATGACCCTCACAGCAAAGAACTTTGCATGGAACAAAGAGTCATTCCAAATTAATATTGCAACAAATTAGAAAATACTGTTTAATAGTCTCTGTGGTGAGAAATAGGAAAGAATCCCAAGCTAGTAGTAAATACACTGATATTCTTTTCCCTTCTACTTCTGCAGTAAGCAATATTTTAAACAATGAAAAACTAATGCTGCAGAAAGTTGGCAGAGCAAGTGTAAGTGTTCTTGGACAACACTGATTATTTTGATGCATTTCAACCTAGGTCAAGGCCTGATTTTGCAGCTGAACTGGTCTTGGTAGCCCTGATGGATGACCCATATCGGAAGGAACAGGTGAGTGCAACCGTGCTAGTATTACTCAATCTCACAGTGACTTTTGATGCCAGTGACCACTGTATCCTCTTGGATTGCCTGTGTGGGATGTGTACTGGATACTCCCAATAGCCTCCAATACAGTAGTCAAGTTCACAGAGAAGCTTTGGGAAGAGTCCCCTTCAAATCGCTGGCAACTGTGCTATGGGGTTCCACAGGCCACTATTTTGTCTCCAACACTTTTTAACATCTATATGAAGCCACTATGTGTGGCCACTGTGTTTTAGAACACAGTGCCATCAGTAGACTGATGACACACAGCTCTACTTCATCTGAGCCAGGAGAGACTGTGCAAGCTCTGAACCAGTGTCTAAATGCAGCGGTGGACTGGATGAGAGCCAATAAAGTGAGTTTGAATCTTGGGAAGACAGAGGCTCTGTAGGCAGGTGATTCCTGTGTCTAGAAGATAGACCGGTTGCCTGTTCTGGATGGGGCTACACTTCCTCTAAAGGAGCAGGTATGTAGCTTGAGGCTACTCCTAGATACATCTTTGTAATTAGAAGACAGCCTTTGATCAGCTTTGACTGGTATGCCAGACATGGGAATACTTTGCCACTGTAGTCCATGCATTGGCAACTTCAAGATTGGATTACGGCAACACACTATGTGAGATGGCCCTTTGGGCTGGTATGGAAGCTCCAGCTGATGCGGACTGCTGAGTGGGGCAGAAAGCCAACAACATGTGACACCTCTGTTGAAACATTTGCACTGGCTGCCCATATCCAAGTTTTTGTGTCAGTATACAAAGCCTGGACAACTTAGGTCCAAGGTACCTTAAACTGTCCTTTTATAACAGCCCGATCACCAAGATCACCTGAAGGAGCATTGCTAGTTGTCCTGCATCTTACAGAGGCCTGATTGGCCTACACAAGAGGTCAGACAATTAGTGTCACTGGTCCATGTTGTGCAACACTCTTCCAGCAGAGATTCACAGGCATTCTCACTTTTTACATCCAGGCAACTCTTGAAGGCTTTTTTATGCTGACATTTTATACAGTTATCTGAGTAGCTAGTCACTTTAATAATTGCTTTGTACTCCTGTAAATTTGTTGTTGTTGTTCTATCGCACCCTGATGTTTTGCTACAGGGTGGTGTATAAATACTTCTGTGAATTAAATAAAACAATTTATGCTCCTAAGGAGCATGCACACTTACCTTGGTGCTTCTTCAATAACTTTCTGATTTCTCCTCTGAATAGAACACTCTCTTTCATTCAGCCACAAGGCGTTGCCATGTTTATCAGCCAATACCTAGTAGAAGGTCACTGTTAATAAATAAATGCATTGCTTTTCTCTCTCCATCCCAGTGCCACCAATGGAAATAATTCAATGGAAATAATCAATGGAAATAATTCATTGCATTCATAAAATTATAGAAAAGATGTTTTAAACAAAAGATCAATAATAAACACACATTATTCAGAGCTTCTCACACTCTATTCCATTGTTGCATTCCAGGAAGAAATCTGTACAAGCCTTGGGCTCCTCAGAAACCACATAGCAAATTAATTGGGGCACACTGCATTTGTCAGAACACACTGAGTGTGTTTGCACATAATGCTACACGGTGAGGTTACGTGCACAAGCTTCTGTGAGCCAGAGTATAGTGTTAGTCACACCCTCCTCATGACCAGAAAAAGGAGTAAGTCAGGATTCAATTTCACTTTAGTAGATACAACTGACTAGAGTTTATATGTTATACCACAATGACTGGTTGTACAAGCCAAAAATGAAAGCCCAAACTGAATCCTGCTTTATTCTTCCTCCCAGCAACACAGGAAAAGATGGGGTGGGGCAAGGGGACACGCAAGGCACTGTGCTTTGTACAGGCTCCTTTCAGCTCATGCACATTGCACTAAACTATTATTTAGTATTCATTGAAAATGCTGTTATTGCGTTGCTCATCCTTGATCTGTCTACTGAAAGACTGCAGTGTTTCTCAAACTTGGGTCCCCAGATCTTTTTGGACTACAACTCCCATCATCCCTAGCTAGCATCCCTAGCTAGCAGGGCCAGTGGTAAGGGATGATGGGAGTTGTGGTTCAACATTGGCTGGAGACCTAAGTTTGAGAAAGACTAGACTAGAGATTTCAACCCAGTAGTCAAAGGAAATGTGGGATAGCCCAGTTCACTCGTTTGCTCTAAATGAGGAGGAAAATTGGAGAGGATGAAAACAACATTCTAGGGCTCATACTCGATTTAAGAGTTATTTCCCAAATATAAAGACTGAAAAGCATCCCTATTGTTGCTGGATCATGTTCACAGCACACAGAACACTAAACAAAACAAAATATTAGGAGTTTCTAAGGAATTTTTTGGGGGGGGGTGAATCTGGTTTGGAAATATTTTTAAATCCACATTGAAGATAAAGCAATAAATACCATATAAATCCAGTTATTCTGGTATCCTGATTTACTATTGAGCAATTCTGACCAAAGAAATAAAAACATATTTAAAAAGGTGTGCTAACATTACAACCTTGTTCCACTTGGGGCATCCTATGACTACTAACAAGAAAAAGTTATGCAAGATTCACATCTCTAGTAAAATTATAGCTTACATCCAGCATTTTCAGCCTAAAAAGGTTGTTGAACATATATATTTAAAAAGCCAAAATTAGCCAGGCAACCCACTTTTCCTTTCACAGAATATCCAACACATCAAGCATATTGCACTTCCACTTGTGCAGGAAAGAAAGAAAGTCACCTCAGACAAAAAGACCACCACACATGCCATCGCTCTGAGAGTCCTTTCAACCCATATAAGTTCAAGTTGACAGGGGAGATGGCTGCTAAAACACACCATCTCTATATCCCTCCAAATGAAAACTAAGCCCAAATCATGAAAACGAATTTAGTTTCATAAAGGGTCAAAGAAATGAAATTCTATTTTCCCATTCCAAGAATGTAGCTTTTCTCATGTTATAGACAGTTTTATAACTTGTTCATGGACACTTATTCAAGGAAAGAACGCTGAGTTTTATCTGGACGCAGGATTACACTTTTTTATACATGATAATCACCAAATTTTCAAATCACACTTTAATTGAAAAGAACTGCTGTAAATTATACAGCATCAAAACAAAATTCTGACAGAAATTTACAATCTTATTTAGCTGAAAAACGTGGGATTGCACATATAAATTCTCGTTATTAACAACTGTCGATAATACACATTCTTATAGAGACAAACAAATGAAAAACTTTGCAAGCAGCTTTTCAAATCTTCAAGGGTACGAACTGAATTTCTATGTACGGGATATCAATAAACTTTTCTATTAACAATCGATCATCACCAAACTTAAGCAGCTTCTTGGATGAAAATCTAAAACCTTCCCTTTAAGGCAAACAAATGGAACACTTATAAATACAAAAACAAATTTATTTATTTTATTTTTAGTCAAATGCTTAGTCTGCATGTCCAGCAGGTTTTCTGTAGCCTTCTGTATTGTCCAACAAGTACCCACCCCACCCAAAATCAGGAAAACATAGCAGTAGCCTCTGACACAGAATTTGAAGCTGCACATGAAATATTTACAGGAAGTAAAACAGGAAAAATAATCAGCACTTTCTGTATCTCTCCCTGTGCAATACCAATTACAAAAATCAGTTTGTGTGTCTGAAGGGAAGGTAATTAGCTTTTCTTCTTGCCCTTATGAAGAAAGTTTCTGACATATTGTACCAAAGTTACTCAGATCTACCAACGGTTATTGTACAGTTTGTTTTAGGAGCTGTATCCTATCAAATATGGCGCCACTGAGCATGCACGGCAACTAACAACATAACATAATAAATACCAGTTTAAAAACAAAAACAGCCGCAGGAAAAGAAAATAGGTCCAGCAGACTGGAGGATGGGGGAAAGGTATCTATGCCAGCTCACGAAATCAACATGTCCTGACCTTCCCTCAAAGGGCAGTTAAAAGAATTGTGTTTTTTAACTTGCTACTAAAAATTAAACCAATAGTTAGTACCACAGTGGAGGTGCCACTACAGAGAAGGCTGTGTTCCTTGTGTTAGTCTGGCCTCTGACAAAAATACAACTCTGTGAAGGCATACAGTTGAAGACGCTCTCAAAAATATTATCTAAATGGCTTTCGTTCTTTCATTCAGCCATGCCTTACCCAACCTGTAAGATCTCCAGACAGACATAACGTAAGTACAGTGGTACCTCGGGTTAAGTACTTAATTTGTTCCGGAGGTCCGTTCTTAACCTGAAACTGTTCTTAACCTGAAGCACCACTTTAGCTAATGAGGCCTCCTGCTGCCACCGCGCCGCCGGAGCACAATTTCTGTTCTCATCCTGAAGCAAAGTTCTTAACCTGAAGCACTATTTCTAGGTTAGCGGAATCTGTAACCTGAAGCGTATGTAACCTGAAGCGTATGTAACCCGAGGTACACACTGTATATACCTGGTGTTCTATTAGATAAGACCAAAGGTCCATCTACTCCAGAGTCCAGTTCTAGGCACATGCAGCCACATGCTTCCCTGAAGCAAAAAGGAAGGGTATAAGGGTATCTTTCCCTCTGCCTTTGAAGGTGGTATTCAGAAGTATCTATGGAGAGCCCATTTAGCTATCATGCCCAATAGCCATTGCTCACTCTTCCTTACAGAATTCACTTTTGAAGTAATTTAAACTAGTGGCTATCACCACATTCTGTGACAATCAATTCCATGAAATTAATTGCATTGTGTGAAGATGTACTTTGTCCATTCTGAATCTTCTGCACATCCATTTTCTTCCAAAACCTGACAAATTCCATAACCTTTCCTCAGAGGGAAGGCACACCAACCTTGATCAAATTGATGGCTCTCTTTTACACCTTTTTCAGCTCTGCGCCTTTTTTCTTTTTCTTTTCTTTTTTTGAGGAAAAGAAACTAGAACTGTTTTCCAAATGTGCCCATAACATAAATTTGCCTAAGCCCGTTGTCTTTTCAATCTGTTTTCAAATCAACCCTAGCACAGAATTGGCCTTCTTCACTGCCGTCGAACCAAGTTGGTGTTGCATAGCTTGTCCACAATCCCCAAATCTCTTTCTGGTCATAGCAAGTTCAGACCTATCTGAATTTGCTGGAGTGGAGATCTGATTTTACTGATTTTACTAACCTTATACTATCACTCCAGGGTACCCCAGAGATCAACTGAACCATTATATCTCACTTTGATTGTCATTGGTCGTTCCCAGAGTTCTGGAGGCTCATTTGACAACAAGAAACCATTATTGTTTTAAATCAGGGGTGTCAAACTCAAATTTATTGGGGGCCGCATCAGCAGTTTGGTCACCCTCAAAGGGCCGGTTGTAGCTGTTGGACTTTACATGAATGCATGTAAAGTGGAGGTTTCCTGTGTAGAACGGCGGGTGCTGCTAGAGGGCAGACGTTCTCTGGCTTGTAGGCTGCCGCGCATGCGCTGAAGAGGCGGCTTTCTTGTGTCAAAAAAAAAAGAGCAAGAATAAAAGGTGAAGGCACCCGTGTTTTAAATGATGATCTCTGGTTTGTATGTAAAGACAATTCAGCATTAGAGGAAAGTGAAACTAAATTCTTTGCTAAAGTCCTTTTCCCACCTGTGTAGGAAAAGGGGAGCAAGGTAGAAGCCCAAAGCATCATTTGGGCTCATTCTAGTTCATGCACATAGCAGTAACTCATGGTTTAGTGTCGCAGGCAACATCCTGTGACAAAAAGTTTTTGGGAAACCTACCAATCTATCTATAACAAGGGTTTTTTAAAAAGAAAATATGTAACAAAAGCAACATTTCAGATGACTTTTTTATTTTAAAATTTATCAGCATGTTAGAGGCAATTCTTGTATTTTAGTTTATTTTCAATTTAAGAACATCTGAGGCAATCACCCAATTATCTGTTACTTGAGTTAATTGTTAAAACTCTTTATCATACCTATTTACAAACATTTGGCATCATTAGATCCAGTGCTACTTAAACTGTGAGAATGAAAGTGGTTTAATTCTTTGGCTTTCTTCTATATAAGCATTTTGTTAGATAACATGTATAAGTGACTTTAGTTAATTGATGCATGAGTTAATTAAAACTATTGATTACAGTGCTTTGTTTGTTGTTTTGTTAAAATCAATATGCTTAATTATATAATCCATAAATCTTTGAAACCTAGTTGTATGCGCTTAACCAAAACTAAGTCTTAATACTTATTTTCAGTTCTGTGTGTCTCCATTTGCCTCTTTAAACTTGGCCTGCACTTGTCAAGGGAAGGGAGGGAATAAGGCTTGCAACAGCCCCACAGTGATTTTTCCATCATTCTATGTCCTCAGAAAGTCTTATCAACTGGCCCAACTCTGCTTTTGGGGTGGAGGGAGGGGTGCAAACACAAATAGAATAACCAGATGACTCCATCTGCCTTGCTGAGCACAGGATGCTTCTGTAAGCTAAGGCAAGGGCAGTTATGGCTGCTCAATGGGATCAAGATGTTTAACATTTCCATTAAGGTACTGGTCTACAAGTAGTGTGGCATGACCCAAATCGGGGTCATGTCTTGTACTATATACGGGTTGCAACAGCTGCATCACCACCTTCCTCACTGTTTACATTTTAAGAGAAGACGAAAATACGAGAGAACAGAAGCCAAAAAGTTTTTTTAGGGGGTAGGGGAGAAGAAGAGAGGAAGAAAGACAGATGTGCATGTATGTTAAGAAAAAATAATAATTGTTGCCTGTCAGTGCTAAAGTTAGGTCTATAATTTGAAAAGGTTAAGAGACAACTGCACCATGCCCTTGGGAAACAAAAAAGAAGGGATGGCTGAAAAATTATCTACAAATATTATTTTCTATTTTGTCACAGCATTACAACGAGTAAGAATAGTAGCACTGAGAAAGTAGCTTGCCTTATGCCTACTCTGACACCTTACAGCAGTTTTCCTCAAAAGGTTTAAATGAATGGGATTAACCATCTGGAAAATAAAAATATGTGCAACTAAATGCTCATGTTCTTGCCTACGTTACACTGCCACATTTGTATAATGATGGAAACTGATCTTGAGAGGAAACTGATAGGCATCTTATCTGAAGCCAGGCAAAAATAAAAACGGTAATTAAAAAAAACCAGGATGAAGAAACACCCCTTTCTTAAGAACTCCAGCGCCAATGTCTGAGACCAACACACAGGCATGGAGACATTGGGGACAGGGACTGCGAATGTGCCCCAGCCCCTCTGCATAAACCACCCAATATGGCAACTCTTCAAGCATAAACTGTGTTAAGGGGCAGTGATAATCCAAAACAGTTTTTTGTTTAGCCCCACCTCAAAATCCCTGTTTGGGGGCTTTCTGCTACTGCCAGTGGTAAGTTTTTCCACTCACTTGGGCATAGCCGGGGTCTCCATCAGAACACAGCTCGCCATCACAAATCCCACACCTTTATTGAAAATATTCTTACTTCATCTTTTTTGAAGTCCAACATGGCTTACATTACAACATACAGTGATACCTCTGGTTACGAACTTAATTCGTTCCAGAGGTCCGTTCTTAACCTGAAACCGTTCCAGAGGTCCGTTCTTAACCTGAAACCATTCCTAACCTGAGGTATCACTTTAGCTAATGGGGCCTCCCACTGCCGCCATGCCGCTGGCACGCGATTTCTGTTCTCATCCTGAGGTAAAGTTCTTAACCCGAGGTACTACTTCCAGGTTAGCAGAGTCTGTAACCCAAAGTGTTTGTAACCCGAGTACCACTGTAATTAAAAAGGTAACAAGCCAAGCAGATAAAGCACAACACACACACACTTAAGCTTCTGCACACCATCAAAACTATGAATATGTAGTCCAGAGGTAGCATTGGGGTGGAAGGTTCACAGGCTATGAAGGACTTGCTCACAAATTTATTGACAGCTGCATGGATTATTATAAACTAGGAAGTGGAAGGGGCAACAGAAGATAAAATGGAAGAATGGTATAAAGAGGTGTGAGATATAGCTAGTAATGATAAATTAACATGTGCCATTAAGGTAAGATGGGGAATATGCAGGAGAAATGATTTTGAAGAGATATGGAGGGTGTTTGTACTGTTAAAACGGAAAGGGGTCAAACCATTGCAAGAGGTAGGTGTTTAAATTTTGGGAGGTTGGATTAGTTACAATGGAATGGTCTCAGTGGTGGGGTACACATTTTTATTCTTATTTATTTATGATTATTACTTTGTCAAAATAAAATTAAATTTAAAAAAACACCTGTGAATACATAAAATGAGGAGATCCCACTAAATTATTTAGGAACCAATTTAAAAGTGGCTCCCTTTTTCCTTCTTGGGATGCTAAATTGCTCTGTCCTACTGTGCTGTGCGGTCTGCCTAGTGAGGAAATGATGCAAATGCAAAGCCACTAAAGCATCAGTGAGATGAACATCTGGCACAAAGCAGAGATAAACAGTGAATAGGAACTCTGGGGCTTTCTACAAACAAGGCAAACATCCCTAGCTGTTGATCTTGGGCGTGTCTGAGCCTTTCAGTCAATGAAAATTAGCATGTGTAATTAAAATTTGTTGACCCTGGTTTACAGTAGCCTTTATTTGGAGAATTCCCAATCCGCTTTCCCCTTCCCCCAGCATTTTAAAGCCACTTAATAACTTTGGTCATGTAAAACTATTACCGGTATGTTACATTCATATCAACACCTAGTGAGCTCCATGGCTGATTGGGAATTTGCACTCTCATCTCCCAGGTCATAGTCCAGCACTTAAACTAAGAACAAAGTGCCAATGTGGTGAAGTGGTTAATCTCAGTCTCATGGGTTGGTGAAACAAACAAACAAACAAACCACAGTTCAGGTCGGACAACACAACAAGCTACACTATGGTTTGTTTCAGCTGCATTGACACTGCACAGGGGAAGAAGCCACAGCAAATTTGAGGTAAATTCACAATAAAACATGGCTTAAGGTTTAGTGTGGCATGCAAACAAGCCCATAGGATGAAGGATTAGCCTTTTCTAGCCTTTTGAAGTTATTGGGGATCATGATCAACAATGGGTAACTAAAGTACAGTGGTACCTCAGGTTACGTATGCTTCAGGTTACAGACTCTGCTAACCCAGAAATAGTGCTTCAGGTTAAGAACTTTGCTTCAGGATGAGAACAGAAATCGTGCTCCAGCGGCGCGGCGGCAGCAGGAGGCGCCATTAGCTAAAGTGGTGCTTCAGGTTAAGAACAGTTTCAGGTTAAGAACAGACCTCCGGAACGAATTAAGTACTTAACCAGAGGTACCACTGTATTTAAATATTGCCCTGCTGACTTAAGAGTTCTTTACCCCATGAATGTTAAAGCCATGCTTGCAAGCCAGACAGCAACTCCGGCGACAAGCATGGGCATGCAAACATGTGCACGGAACTTTTTAAAGTATTGTTTACCCTGATGTGCTATATAAGAAACTTTGCAGGCTAATCTTGTTTTGGGGGGCCATGAAGCTTTGGGAAGGACAGGACTCAGAAGCACCACTGAGCCATCTGGATCACTTCATACCTATTTACCGATTTACAGCATTCACAACCACTAGATGTGATTGTCACTATTTATATGTCTCTCCCTCTCTCTTAAAAAAATGTTAAATACACTTTTTTACATTGAAGCTGCTAAAGGCTAAGTGTTGTATATCCAACACTGAACAAGAAGCACCCTTACCTTTTCCCGCCCTGCCCTAGCCACAGTGATCCATGCAACGGTCATCTCCAGGCCTGACTACTGTAATTCGCTCTATGCGGGGCTGCCCTTGAAGCTGTCCCAGAAACTCCAGCAGGTGCAGAATGATGCAGCGAGGCTCCTCATGGGGTTTCTGCCATGGGAGCATGTTCACCCAGTGCTTTTCCAGCTGCACTGGCTCCCGGTGGAGTACAGGGTCAGATTTAAGGTGCTGGTTTTGACCTTTAAAGCCCTTCACGGCCTAGGACCCTCGTACCTACGGGACCGCCTCTCCCGGTATGCCCCACGGACAGCCTCAAGGTCCATAAATAGCAACACCCTAGTGGTCCCAGGCCCTAAGGAAGTTAGATTGGCTTCAACCAGAGCCAGGGCCTTTTCAACACTGGCTCCGGCCTGGTGGAACGCTCTGCCTCATGAGACCAGGGCCCTGCAGGATCTGATTTCTTTCCACAGGGCCTGTAAGACAGAGTTGTTCCGCCTGGCCTTTGGCTTGGAGCCAATTTGATTCCCTCCTCCTCTTTTTCCTTTTTCCTTTCTACTCCTGTGATGAGGCTGCATTTCAATATTGTAATTGTTGTGTTTTAATCTTGTTTTTAAGTTGTATTCATTCAACTTGTTTTTATTATTGCTTGTTAGCCGCCCTGAGCCTGGCCTTGGCTGGGGAGAGCGGGGTATAAATAAAAATTATTATTATTATTATTATTATTATTATTATTATTATTATTATTATCATCCCGCTCACACAACCAAACTTCCCATTCCTTTCCCCGCATACCCTCCCCCAAATCTGCTACAGAGGGGGCCCCAAGCCTCTGGAGCAGATTTTCAGGGTATGAGTGGAACAGTGGGAGAGAGGAGAGAGAACATGCTTCAAATATTAGCAATCAGAAATCAGACAAATCACTGGGCTCTTTTTTTCTTATAAGACATTATTTTAATTCAACTTACATTCAAAATGAATACGTATATAACCCCAATGTTTAAAAAAAACTGCTAAGACATGCCAGGGGACAAGAGCAGAAACTGTTGCATTTCAATCTGCTGTTTGATATCTGTTTGACTGTCAGCTCACAGTGGTTTAATGGGGTTTTGGAAACAGCAGTATTCATCAAAACTAGATTTTGGACAGCATCTCACCTGGTCTCTTCATCATCCCACGCAATTCTCATGCCTTTCCCACCACCGCCTGCTGAAGCCTTGATCATGACGGGGTAGCCTAGCAGCGGGGAACAATTAGAAAGGAGTTCAGACTTTGATCAGTAAGTCATACAGACATGACAACTGACCACATGTCCAATAACAGGGAAGAAAACAATAGGTTTATTAAAAAGCTCTTAGTTGGGAAGGGTACTGCCAGTACACTATCATTAACGGTAACTAGCTTCTGAATTTCAGTATATCAAATTAAATTAATAAAAGTGGATATAAACAGCAAATCAAAGCTACAATGGTAATACTGCACATTCTTTAAAGTATGGATATGTCGCCTTCCAGTCAAAAAGTCCTAAAGAAAGCTATATTTTGGGGAAAAATTTTTTCTTCACAATCTTAAAAAAATAAAAAATATAATGAGCAGCTAAACATGACAGGGGCAACTAGCCAAGAAAAGAATCAGTAGCACTGTTTCAACTAACTTAATCCAAAAGCCACACCTTTGCTCCTCATCAAAAAGCAATTGGTGAACTAGTCAGGCAGGCCTCCTTGGGAATGATAGGAAAGTCTTGTCCCAAATCCTCAAGATCCAAAGCCCAGATGGTGAAAAAACAGATCAAAGAGACTTTAGTTGCTCAGTAGATCACACAGAAGACCTCAGAGCCTACTCTGGAAGAACTGTCCCCCCTGCTTCAACCACAGAGCTGACCAGCAGCAGCAGTGTGGGAAGGATCTTGTAGGCTTAGGTTTTGATAGTGTTTTAGTGTGGTTTCATTTTTTTAATTATTTTTTTTACTTGTAAACCACCTTGGAATGCTTTGTAATCCTAAAAAGGTGGTAGGAAAACAGCATAACAATACTACTAATAATTATTTAGGATTATGGTTTTTAAAAAGAGGAAGAGGAGAAGGAAGCTTTGTACTGTAAAGGAGGCTTTAAAAATACTGTGGTTCCAGTGACATTTTAGGGCCTTAGAGACTGAGTCCAGAACTTAGAACTGGAGCCCCAAAATGAACTGGAATTCAATGGAAGAGGGAGGTACTTCAGGCTTGAAGGGTCCTTTTTATTTTTTTATCAGACTCTCAAGATCCAGCAACCAGCACCAGGTACAAAAGATATACGCTTAAAGTGCTATTTGCATAGGAATTTGTCTTGAGTACCTGAACTAGTTCTTCCACACACGAGATTAACTCTTGGCTACCCTCTCCCCAGCTATCTTAATTTTCAGCATCATAACTTGTGTGCATGAGTGGGGAGTAGTCATTTGGTTACTCCCATTTTTCATAAAAACAGGGAGTCATAAAACCTTGTGATCTACCGCAACCACCCAGAGACTCATCTACCTTCTTCCCACTCCTGAGATAAGACTCTAGAGGTAATGTCCTACAGCACAACCCTAACCATATCTACTCATAAATAAGTCCTACTTGAATTCAGTGGTGCTTAGTCCCATGCATGGATGTAGCAGGGGGGGCAGCTACCCCCCCCCAGTAAATACATAAAAATGCTTAACTAACTGACCAACTGCATCACATATAGCTCAACTCTGCCCCTCACAACATAAACCCTGGCTAGGCCCATGCTCCCATGTCAGTTGGTTACGATTACAACCTTATATACCTATCAATGGTCATTTTCCCTGTGTTGTATGGCAATTAAATATATGTTATGTCTCTCTTCTTCTTTGGAAGTTTCTAAACAGAGGTAAGATAGCCATCTGTCAAGGATTCTTAAGCTGTGATGATTCCTGCATAGCAGGGGGTTGGAAAAGAGGAGTCTTGGGGTCCCTTGTAACTATGAAGAGGCACACCTTGGAGGCTGGAGGCAAGAAGACTTACGATTTCCTTTCTGCTGCTTTAAGTCTCCTCCGAAGGAGAGATGGGGGAGCCATCTTTGAACCTAGCCTGCTGAGAATACCTTGCATCTCTCAACTGCTTTTAAGCTGTGGCTTCTTGGAGTACAGCAAGACTAATACCTGTGATGGTATTATTGTTTTGCCTGTTATAAAGTACAGAGGTAAATCAAATTTCTATTTTTAAGGGTTGCTTCCAGCTAAGTTTAACTTAGACCCATTGAAATTAATGGACCTAAGTTTGCCATGTCTATTAATTTCAATGGGCTTACTCTGAGTATGTCTAACTTTTGATACAACCCTGTCTAGATAATTAAACTGTAATGTTGAATTTATCCTATGTTTATTAAATTGTTGGTTTTCTCTTATTTGCCTTTACTGATATAATTTTTAACATTTTTAAAAACTTATGTATTTTGATGATGCTAAAGTTGATTGTGAGCTGCTTCAGGAAAAGTGGAATATAAATGAAATTAACAAAAGGTAACTTGGGTGACTTTCAAGCTCTCGCCCTTTATCAGAATGCAACCCTCAGAAATGGCTTTTTCTAGACACAAAAGGGAGAAAGGTACAACTTGCTGCATATGAAAAAGGGAAGCAGTCCACTATATTCCATTCACTCTCACATTATTTCCTTCTCCAAAAAGCACTGGCTTGATTTGCACCTCTTACATGGTTGGCTATATGAAATGCAACCATATAAGGGCTGCAGCAGTTTCAGGCCATTATATTGGGTCTTATAGTAGCAGACGAAGGGGATGGGATGCAATGGCATAGGGTGTTGTAGTTCTTTGCTAGAATGGTTTGGATTATTTGCTATTTGAAACAAGCCTTCACATGACAGTCACTTGTTTGAATCGGACATATATTACACTCCAGTCCAAAAATACATTCTTTTAAATACTTCATCCTTAACCACACAAGGCTCAAACAAGCTTCTAAACTGAAATATCAGTTTCACCCAACCTCCCTGGTCTACTTTCCAGCACACTGTCCACCACACAAAACACTGGCCAAGAGTAAGACAAAGTTTGATTAGGTTCATACTCCGCAGGCCACCTTACAATTTCACAAAATAAAATGTGCGTAAGTTATGAAATTTCCCAAATTATAGGCTATAATCCAAAGAACTACCTCGGGAACTCCAAAGTGAAATATTTCACTTCTCTTGAAGAGCTGCACCTATAACTGCACCATTTTTTAAATGTCTGTGTTTCAAAAGTGGCTTCTCAAATAAGATTGGAAGGGGCATAATATGAGGCAGAGGGGTCTTCTACTGTTTGGGGAGTGAAACTACAATGTTTCACTGGTTCATTGGTTGCTGGTCATAGCCTAATTTACAAAAACAAACAGCATAAACACAATTCTATCAGTCTCCTGATAAAAGATTAGCCATGTCTTAGCCCCTTATGCACAAAGTTGCTCTTTTCCCTTCATATAAACTCACAAAATGCTACCCTTCATTTAATCAGATTTATGATTACGAAAGCTTGCACCCTGTCTGCAATTTAAGCCTCTAAAATGCTGCCTATATCACAAAAATATTAAGAATTAAAGAGACCATTAATGCTCAGATTCTTCCAGTCCTGAAGGCAACTGAGAATTTTAAAACTTAAATCATTTTTTTTCCACAGGGACTACTTATTACACAGTTAATTTAGTCAACAGCATCTTCTGAAAGGCATACAAATCTCACCATAGCCAATTTAAGAACTTACCAATTTCCCTTGCAATTCTGACAGCTTCATCTGCATCCTGTAAAAGCAGGAAATTAGACCCAACATTAATCCCATCAGCTACTGCACTGTGTCTCTAGGGCAGTCGTATATTGCACTACTGTCTCCTCCGATTCATTTAATGTTTGATTTTACAACCTTCTGACCCGCTTCATTCAGAGGAATGCAAAATTAATACCATAAGTGGAATGTAAATTTTACCTCATCACTGCATAATACTCAGGCTCTAAGTAGCGAAGAATCAGCTGACAGGAAAAGTCAGCAGGACTACAGAAGGATTTCTCAAGTTGCCAGAATTTAAATTATAGAATTTAGATGGTTCCACAGAGAAGTCAATATCATAGCATTGTAACATATCATCTGTCAGCTTATTCCTGTCTTTTCAGGTACACGTGTGTCATGTTTTCCTGGATACAGTCAGCAGGGGGAGTTGATTCTCTATTGTTTGGCTAAGCTTCACAGTCAAACACAAGTCTTCTAAAAATTCACTGAAATATTCAAATAAAGCACAGTATACACAGGTGTTTGCTGAGTTCCCACCCTTTTTTTAAATTTCAGAAGCGGAAATTTTTAACATATATTAAGACTCCAGAAGAGCACTTCAAACACACAATCACTTCATTACAGAGGCCAATAAATTTTGTATTTTTAAGTGATAGAAACTCAAAAGTTTTTTCTGGTAACTTTAACATTATACTTTACAATTATTCAAACACTGGATTTTGACATGTGGATGGCAAGTATTATGTATCAATACAAACAGTGTGCATGGCCTAAATAATGATGAAGGATAAACAGCAATATCTCTTTATTATATAGTGGTATATAAATGTGTGGGACGCGGGTGACGCTGTGGGTAAAAGCCTCAGCGCCTAGGACTTGCCGATCGAAAGGTCGGGGTTTGAATCCCCGCGGTGGAATCCGTCGCTCAGTCCCAGCACCTGCCAACCTAGCAGTTCGAAAGCACCCCCGGGTGCAAGTAGATAAATAGGGACCGCTTTCTAGCGGGAAGGTAAACGGCGTTCCGTGTGCTGCGCTGGCTCGCCAGATGCAGCTTGTCACGCTGGCCACATGACCCAGAAGTGTCTGCGGACAACGCCGGCTCCCGGCCTCTAAAGTGAGATGAGCGCACAACCCTAGAGTCTGTCAAGACTGGCCCGTACGGGCAGGGGTACCTTTACCTATATAAATGTGTACACATAAATGGAATAAGCAAAAGCATCTTATGCCGTTGGTATGGCACATTTCTTTGAAATCATCCACTAGTTAATTCGTTGAATAGACACACAACATATTTTTCATGTGGAACTTCCTAATCCCTGACATTTCCAGTTTAAAAAATAAGAATCACATAGCAAGGCTAGAAAAAGCCACTGATTCAGACCTCAGAGATACGCTACCTACCACAGTAGTGCGTGTGCGTGTGTATGTATATACACACAAACACACACTCTTTGGGATGTTATCTTCTTTTAAGCAGCCAGGTAAGGGATAAGTGAAAAACATCCTCGGTTACAGTTCAGCTTCTCAGCAGCAAGTGAAGAAAAGACATTCAGAAAATGAATGCCATATATTTGGTAAACTTTCCCATCACCCAAATAATGTATTTCCATTAAGCATTACTATATGACATGTTAAGCCCTGGAAGTTGTTATAGGAATTCAAAGTCCATTCAAATTTGCTAATATTTGCACTCCTCTGAAACATACATTTAAAAGGTTTAAGGATTGTATGTCTGGAAACCCCCAGCTGATGTGTGAGGCTGAATCCATGGGGGCTAACCTCTGAACATTAAAATGAAAACTGATATTTTAAAGCATTCAAAGCCTTTCCCCCCCTTTTTTCTTTTTCTAAAGAAAAATACTAGACAAGAGCTCCCTCTCTCCAAAAAGGGAAAATAAATTGCTTTGGAGGGTTCGTACCTGGCTCATTTTTTGCCAAACAATAAAACAAAAATCTTCATAGTACCTACTAAGAGCCCAATGAAGAATAAGGAAGCTGGTACAGGAAGTTGTCAGAAAATTTAATTTCCTTTCATTAGCTAGTCTGCTCCACAAATCGGTGCTTGTTAAGTTCAAAGCGGCCCTGAAAGCAACATCAGTTTTAAGTCTTTTTTTTTTTTTTACTTCAAGCAGGCACATCTGTTAATGAGATTTTCCAAACAATTGTTTTTAAGCCAAAGATAAGTCCACATACCAAAAAAAGGGAATAAAATTAATGTTTAGTGTTTTATTACACCTTGTTGTTTTCCACAACCCTGCAACCTCCACATGCTCCAAGTTTTAGCTTAGAGGGATAAAAAAATGTATGAAAAGGGTCATTTAAGAATGTTAGTGGTTTCCACACATTGAGTCAGAAGGTTCTTTGTTCCTGTCTGTGACAGTTATGTGAGAATACTTCCTCTTAATAGTCTCTCTGTCAGGAAGTGTTAAACCTGCCAAATGCAGACAATTAGAGCCTCTTGAATAAAATGCAAGAAGAGTGATGACTGATGAAGTGCCTCCATTAGAGCCAAGGAGGAAACTTTTACATTTCTTTTCTCTTGCAAATTCAGGCACATATTTGCTAAACAGAATTTTAAAATAAAAGTAACAAAAGCAGGTCATTCCCCCCCCCCATTTAGTTACCTGCAAACAAGTGGGTAACTGGTACATGCTACAGGCCCATAAGAAGGCAATCTGCAAATTATCCCAGGACAACTGACACAACTATGTTAGATGCAACCCCTCCTTCCCCACCTCCCAAGTCACAATACTTTTAAAGAAGATGGGACCTACAATTTTGCTGCCTTCAAAAACATCAAAGCAAAGGGGGAACTACTAAGCAAACCCTTTTACTGTACAGTGGTACCTCGGGTTAAGAACTTAATTCGTTCCGGAGGTCCGTTCTTAACCTGAAACTGTTCTTAACCTGAAGCACCACTTTAGCTAATGGGGCCTCCCGCTACCGCTGCACCACTGGAGCACAATTTCTGTTCTCATCCTGAAGCAAAGTTCTTAACCCGAGGTACTATTTCTGGGTTAACGGAGTCTGTAACCTAAAGCGTCTGTAACCTGAAGCGTCTGTAACCCGAGGTACCACTGTATTTAGGCCATACACACTTTTGTAGAATAGTAACAAATATTATAACTCTCCTTGTCCAAAAGCACATGTCATCAAGCAGTACCACTGCCTACTCTGACCATAAGAAGCCTTTTTAGGATGCTGTTTCAATGACTAGCCACAATCCACCAGGGCGAGAAAGCAGCACAGGTAGAAAGAGCATAACACTTTCTTTTGCACACTTACTTGTGAGTAATCCCATTGAAGTCAGTGGGGCTTACTTCTCAGTAAGCATGTGCCAGACTGTGCTGGAAGTCATATATTCATTAAAACAGTATATGTGTATATTGGGGGAGTGGGTAGCAATAAAAAAAAACTTTGCATTTTCCCCAGTATATTTCTGACCCTTAAAAGTTTTCAAGCACCTACTCAGAATGCTAAAACAATTAAGCATAAACCTTCCATAAAATATTCAACTTCTGTGGGATTCAAGATGCAGACTCAAAAGACTTGCATTCCACTAGTGGAATGGTCGACTTCCCATGCCCCCCACTCCTCAAATACTGCCCCCATGTAGTTAAGTATATGCTGTTTAAGAAACTTCAGATTCAAAGACTGGTTTGATATGCAGCATAGATAACTGTGGTTCCAGGAAAAAGAAGCCCAAAGTTGTGTGGCGCTTTGGATCCTAGCCCAAGTATGTATTCACTGACATTTCAATAATTTGGTAAACCAAATCTGGTACTCATGCGTGAAAAGTACAAATAACTAGCATATTACTCTTAAAACCAAACATTGTTTTCATTTTGGAAAATTAAAAAAGTATATTATATTTGAGCATGTGTCTATGATCCAAAAAACCATTAAGGCTTTGCTTGCAAGAGTTTAAACCACATATTTACTGCATTCTTCAAAGCAGCTCTGGACCATATCCAACAACTGACCTCTTTTTATTCTCACAATTCTATAAAGGTGGGTTGAGCTGAGAGATGGTGACAGACCAAAGGCCAGAAAGATCACACCTACATATCTTAGGAACAGGTCACATTCCTCAACATACCCAAAGGCATTTGGAGTCAAGACATTGGGGAACGAGACACATATTGCCATCAGAATGTGGCAAACCAATATTGCACCAAATAAAAGGAAAGGTGCTCATGATCAATTTGATTATCTCCCAAGAAATATAAAAAGCCTCTTCAGCAGCAGTGGTCTATTCACATTGTTACTGCAATGATATACTGGGAAATAGGAGAGATAGCCTTGAAAACATTTTTTTTCCTTAGCCAAAATCCAGCTCCTAAGAAGGAAACGGTAGGCGGCTTTCAGTTTGGAGCAACTTTATGGTGAAGAGGATATTATTACACAAGCCTGGGCAATACGTTTTGATTCCTGGATCTACTCACAGGCAGTCCATCTGAACAGGCCCGTGGTGGGCAGCCGTGTACACTTGCCCCAGGCCTCAGAGGGCTAAGCCAGATGAGGGAGGGGTGGAGCGCCGGGGACCAGCTGCTTTTTAGTTTGAGTTTATAACTTTATTCTAACAAGACTCCTGTGCCAGGCCTGTGTATGAGTCTTCCAACAACCCACCACATTTTAGCCAAGCAAGAAACGGAACCAAAGGCAGTGAGACTCAGATAGGGGAAAGCTAAATTCTTAAGGGCAAGGAGAAGTTTTAACTCCTCTAGTGGTGTTCTGACTGCCTCTGTTACTTTCTCTTATATGAGGGAATGGCGGCCATTTACATGAAGGAGAAACAAACCACTACACTTAGTGACACAGAGTTGAGGCAAAGGCAAAAACTGCCCATCATTGACTGAGTGACTTAACAACACTGATTCCATCAGGGTGCTATAAGAATGAACCGAAATGGCACTGCACACCCAGCAATCACTGCACAAACCCAAGGGTGATGTTGATGGCGATTTTGCTATTTTATAATAAGCCTCAGAAAGCATTCTTTTAAAATGAAAAACATCTTTGAAATGTTTCTTACCTTGACCACCCCATCAAAACCAGGTATAGTGTTGACCTTTGCATCCTTGGCTAAGAGTTTGCTTTCTATCTTGTCCCCCATTGCTTGAATAGCATGCATGTCTGGTCCAATGAAAGCAATACCTTCTGATGCCTGAAGAGAGAAGGAAAGCAAAGGGTTTTTTACTCGCATATATATATATATTTACTATGCTGAGATTTTGTTTAGGGAAAACCCTAAATTTATGTAAGCAACCTAGCTTGAGTCAGTACATTAAAATGTGTATGAGCTTGTTAAGCCTATATGGAACACAGGCACAAAGCTCCTATAATTACTGTTTGCATAAATCAAAGCCAGACCAAAGAAAAATAGCGGAGAGCCATAAAGTATTCCAGCCTGAACATTTGCAAGATCCCCTGAGTAAGAAAAAACAGTTAACTCATGAGTCAAGGAGCCACAAGTGGCTTACAAAGATATGTTCAATAATGTATACTAACTTCAGGATTTCATTCTGCATTCTTTAAAACATAAGCCTCACACAAAACGGAAATGAATTTACTCTTTGTAAGTGTTCACGACGCACAGGATGGACATTTAAAATATTTAGGTACTGCATATATAATAAAAGCCATAAATGGATATTATCTTTGTAGGCTAGGGAATCACAGTAACATACTCATACAGACTGCACTTCAGAACAGCCTAATGTCTTAAAGTGAGGTATTCTTTATGTCCAGATTATCCCAGTACTATAAACTATCATTTCTCATAACACTTTCGTTGTATTTGTTTTTAGTCTCTCTCAAACACACACTTTTCTCTTTTTCCAGAGAACTTGAGTTTTTGTTTTGTGCTTGAAAAGCACTGCTATTATATATATACAGTGGTACCCCGCAAGACAAACGCCTCGCAAGACGGAAAACCCGCTAGACGAAAGGGTTTTCCGTTTTGGAGGCGCTTCGCAAGACGAAGTTCCCTATGGGCTTCCTTCGCAAGACGAAAGCCCATAGGGAAATCTCCGGGACAGCGGGGAAGCGCCTCCGCTGTCGCCCGCCAGCATTTTAAAAAGCCCCGGGACAGCGGGGGACTTCTCCGCTGTCGGGGCGATCTTAAAATGCTGGCGGGCGGGAGCGAAGCCTCCGCTGTCGCCCGCCAGCATTTTAAAAAGCCCCGGGACAGCGGGGAACTTCTCCGCTGTCGGGGCGATCTTAAAATGCTGGCGGGCGGGAGCGAAGCCTCCGCTGTCGCCCGCCAGCATTTTAAAAAGCCCCGGGACAGCGGGGAACTTCTCCGCTGTCGGGGCGATCTTAAAATGCTGGCGGGCGGGAGCGAAGCCTCCGCTGTCGCCCGCCAGCATTTTAAAAAGCCCCGGGACAGCGGGGAACTTCTCCGCTGTCCGGGGCGATCTTAAAATGCTGGCGGGCGGGCGGGAGCGAAGCCTCCGCTGTCGCCCGCCAGCATTTTAAAAAGCCCCGGGACAGCGGGGGACTTCTCCGCTGTCCGGGGCGATCTTAAAATGCTGGCGTGCGGGAGCGAAGCCTCCGCTGTCGCACGCCAGCATTTTAAAAAGCCCCGGGACAGCGGGGGATTTCTCCGCTGTCCGGGGCGATCTTAAAATGCTGGCGTGCGGGAGTGAAGCCTCCGCTGTCGCCCGCCAGCATTTTAAAAAGCCCCGGGACAGCGGGGGACTTCTCCGCTGTCCGGGGCGATCTTAAAATGCTGGCGTGCGGGAGCGAAGCCTCCGCTGTCGCCCGCCAGCATTTTAAAAAGCCCCGGGACAGCGGGGGATTTCTCCGCTGTTCCGGGGCAATTTAAAAGCCCCGGACCATGCCCCGATGCCGGGCGGCGGACGGGAACGCCTCCCCCCGCCGCCCGCCATCGGGACCATGCCCTGATGCCGGTGGACGGGCGGGAACGCCTCCCCCCGCCGCCCGCCATCGGGACCATGCCCCGATGCCGGGGGCGGGGCCGCGAAGCCTGGGCGCGCTGATCTCAGCGCGCCCAGGCTTCGGCATGCCGGCAACTCTCCGCAAGCTGCGGCAGCGCTGCCGCTGCTTGCGGAGAGGTCCGGGAACCCTGGGCGGACATCTTTTGAAGGCAGGGGGGGAGCAAAGACTTTTGCCCCCCGCCAGCCTTCAGAAGAGGTCCTGGACATCTTCTGAAGGCCAGCGGGGGGCAAAAGTCTTTGCTCCCCCCTGCCTGCCTTCCCGGGAGAGCGGAGAAACGCAGTACGTTTCTCCGCTGTCCCGGAGGGCTTTTGAATGCAGGCGGGGGGAGCAAAGACTTTCGCCCCCCCCCCAGCCTTCAGAAGAGGTCGGGGGACAGACTGTCCCCGGACCTGGTCTGAAGGCGGTTTCCCTAGGAACGCATTAATTGATTTTCAATGCATTCCTATGGGAAACCGTGCATCGCAAGACGAAAAACTCGCAAGACGAAGAGACTTGCGGAACGAATTAATTTCGTCTTGCGAGGCACCACTGTATATATATTCAAGACCTTATAAGTTGGATAGTTTGTGTGAGATAATGTCAGTCAGGCTCTTTTATCAATTGTGCAGCTTTTTAAAAAACAAAAATCAGCTGACTAGTTAGACAGTAAAATCACTGACCACATCAACAACATCCTGTTTATTGATCTGCTCTGTCCCAGACAGAACATCCACAGGCAAGCATATGAAAGCTGCCAGGAGTCACAACATTCATGACTTTTGGGCATTTCACAAATTCATGCATATTCCTTGGTCTTAACTCATCGTATCCCTTAACTTGATTACTCAGTACTGAATTTGTGAAATGAAATGCTAAGAAGCATTGCATTTGAAGTTATATAAGGTCCACTCAAATGATAGCTCATTCTCACACATCTAAAACAAGGTTCTAGAGTATGGTCTAAAAGTGCATGAGACCACAAACTCATTGAAGCTAAGCAGGCCTGGGTATGGTCAGTTTCTGAACTGGGAGCCACCTGGATTCCATGATGAAAGAAAGGTGGCATATGCTTTATGCTGAAGCCTTCCATCCAGTAATGAATGTGAATGTTCATATAAAACTTTAGCCCCCTTCCATGGTGATGGCGGTAGGGCAGGCAAAACATACATGTAACAGGTTTCTTATATGGGATGCTGAACTAGCCACAGGTAAGGAACTTGTGAAAAAACTCTGATGTTGGGTAAGATTGAGGGCACAAGGAGAAGGGGACAACAGAGGATGAGATGGTTAGACAGTGTTATAGAAGCGATCAACATGAATCTGACGAAACTCCGGTAGGCAGTGGAAGACAGGAGTGCCTGGCGTGCTCTGGTCCATGGGGTCACGAAGAGTCAGACATGAGTAATCGACTAAACAACAACAAAGGAACTTGTAGAAGAATGATGAAAATGTGTAAGGTGCACACAAAAACCCCAATCCAGAAATGGGGATCTTTTCAAATGGCAGCAATGAAGACAAGAGAGAATCCTGCCAAGAGAAGGATTGAACTCTCTGCTCATCTGCTGGTGAGTGGACAGTTCAATCCTGTTGCCTGCGGCTTTGCCAGCAGGTTTTCCTATGTGGCCCCTCCTGCCCACCTGTCAAAGTTGGCCTGAGGGGTAGGGGGGATGATAAAGATATAACCCACATGGTCAAAAGTATGCCACCCCTGGTTTGGAATCCACCTTATACTGTAACAATACCAAATTTTGTGCGACTTTAATAATTACATATTCTTCCCCTGTTTAACACGGTGTCAATTCCTCCACCACCCTTAGATGTCTCTTTGTGTGTCTTTATATTGTAAACCCCTTTTGGTAGAGATCTGTCAAAACCGTAATCCTACATGCAGTGAAAATATATGTTTCCAATCCTTCTAGCTTTCTGCACCAGCATGTACGCCAAGGGAAGTTTCTGGGAAATGTTTTAGGACAGGGATGCAAAAGCGATTTCCTGGGCCTGGTACATTGGGTGTTGATTGGGCCCTCTGGACCCCGCGCCACCCAATCTGTTAACAAGACCTGCTACATATAGCAACTTAACCTAGCCTACCTCACAGGGCTGCTGCAAATATAAACGCAGGTGGGGAGAGGAAAACATACACAACTTTGAGCTCCTTTGTGGAAAAGCAAGATACAAATATATGCCACACAACAGATAGTTAAACTATGAAATACACTCCCACAGGAGGCAATGACAACCACCAACTTAGATAGTTATAAAAGAGAATTAGAAAAAAATCATGGAGGATAAGGCTCTCAGCAGCTGCTAACCAATATAGTTATGTTGTGTCTCCAACGTTGGAGGCAATCAATATGCGTCTGAATACAACGGAACCTTGGTTCTCGAATGTAATCCGTTCCGGAAGTCCGTTTGACTTCCGAAACGTTCAAAAACCAAGCGCCCCGGAAACAATAGCTGACAACCACATAGGACATTTGAGTTCCAAAAAACGTTCGAAAACCAGAACACTTACTTCCAGGTTTTCGGTGTTTGGGAGCCGAAATGTTTGAGTACCAAGGCATCTGAGAACCAAGGTTCCACTGTACTAGTTGCTTGGAACCAAAAGAGGGGAAGATGCTACCTCCAAGGGCTGTTGTGTAGATATAAAGGAAAGGGGAATACAATAAACATAGCTTTGAGCTCCTGGATACAAATCTACAACAGCAACAAATATGTCCAGCTTCATAACTCTCAGCAAACATACATTCACAGACATTTTGCCAACCTGTGATCTTTCCTCCCCTGCTTTCTAAAACTGCTGTTATAACATTTTGCAAATAGTGATTTTAAAACAAATAAGATGCCAAGTGACTGGATAAACACAGAAAATAAAGGTGACATTAAACACAACACACACACACACACACACACACACACACGACAGAAAACTATCGATTTGTAAAACTGTTTAGGCAAAAAAGGAGGGAGGAATTACCACAATTGCCAGCCAATCAACACTGTGTACAGACAGATAATAAAGCTTCCAAACCCAAAGAGGGCTGGGAACTAGGTTTGCCTCACTAGTAGAATATGCTTAAATATACATCTATGGCAACTTCACCCATTAATACCACAAAACTGAAGCAGGAGCAGTGGTACTGCCTATTTGTTTTAATTTTTTTGAACGCCACCATGTAAGAAGTTAAACTAAAAGGTAGAGTACAGCAAATATATAAATATATA